AGTACGAAGTTCTAGTACGAATACGGTTACTTTCTTATTTATTGAGGATTTTCCATATTTAGCACTCAGTTAAACATATCGCGAGAAACGCATGCATGCATGCATTCATTTTTGCATTAAAGAGGCTTACGGACGTTATGAATACTAACATCGCTATGTAAACAAGAAAAAGAGTGGCCTTTTGTTATAGCTTGCCATTGCATTCCATTATTGTACATACATTCAGTTCACTTCCACACTACTACATATCAACACCATTCGTAAAATCAGTAGCGAGACAAGCGGGTCGTTCAGATGCCACGTTATAAATCTAATTTGTCGCACCAGTATAACCGGACAACAATAACAATGGCAGTATCTCTACCACTATAGCTACTCGTAGGCAGAATTATCAGACTACTGCGCCCCGCGACTCTTCTAGTCGTCAGCACCGTCTTCCCACTAGCGTTGCCCGATGGTTCAATGCAGCTCGCTGCTCTGCCCCGCTGGACTCTGGGCGGAGGGGTTGAGGAAAGACTGGGTTTTGGCCAGCGCAGTGCCGTAAAACACCGTTGTGAAATGGGATCTGGCAGGCGTTGCCTCCCGGACCACCACCACGTGGCTTTCTTTTCTTAGCCATATATATATAATGCTACCGGGAGCAGTCGAAGACATCAGTTGTTGTCAAAATCTTGCTTCATAACTAAGCGCTTCTTTATTTCCGCCAGAAGAAGCAGGCATCAAGCACAGGAACCTTTAGAGTGTTTAAGCCGCGAAGACCCTGTAGAATCCATATGCTGTGAGGTTTTCCAATCATTCACTCGCAGTGCGCTCTCCGGAAGCGAAGACAAGGAAACTTGCTTAGCAGGACTAAATTGTTCAAAAGGTAACCTATGATCTGAACAGTGTAAGGTCTGTGTTTGCCCATTACAAGCATAAAATGGCCTGCTTGTTGTTGTCAGAAAGATAACTGAAGTGCGTCTGTATATTATTTACGGATCGAACGTCAATTCGTCGGATAGAATTTCATATTTTGCCGTACAATTTGTCGCATTGCGTTCGTTGCAATGTCTATTCTACGCTGCGTTTTCCTGTTCGTATTTTTTCTCCTACTTCTATTACATGCGTCGTTGGGATGCCGAAATCCGCAATGCCGTTCGTCGACGAGAGCTATGTCGTTGCAAGACCGATTCGACTCAATGACCTATGCCCATTTCGCCCCATCGCGAAGATATTTTACCCCAGTAGAGGCTCGCAAACTCGCCACTTTTGTACAAAATATGGCCTCCTTACTGAAAGAAACTGTTACGGAATTCGCTAACCAGCCACTGCAGGTATTCAAAACCGCTCTCGCCAATGCTAGAACCCATGACGGTTCAAAGCCAGACAACATAAATACCAATTCAGTATTTACGAACCTAAGTAAGATCAACAAGGAGTTTCAAGACGTTTCTCATTTCTTCATTCCAAATACGTCATTATTTAAGGGATTAAAGACTGCCGATGGGCTTGCGCAGTTGCTGGCCCTTCTGGGTTCCACCGCATCGACCACGAAAGGCGTGGTTGCTAGAACAATCCTTGCGAAGATAGCCAAAAAGTTTTTAGAAAATAAAGAAGCATCCGTTTCAAACTCTTCACGACGAAATACGCGAATTACTCGACGTACCGGCCGAGGCTACCTTGATTCGGAAGCTATAATTCTGTTCATTTTAGGTTTAGGGATCGGTTCCGTAATGGGCCTTGGTTCTGTACTGATTCCAATGGGACTGTATGGAGGATATGGTGCTGCCACGGTTCCCATTAATACCCAGGTTACGGCGGGTCGGAGGAAACGGAGAGATCTGACAAACCACACAAACCCGAATTTCTCGGCTTTGGAAGAGAGCTTTCGAAGGATTAGGCAACATCTGACGAAAGCTACTGAACGATATTCTACAGTAAATTCGACAACCTAATAGAAATCGAATTCCTATTCATTTGAGTATAAATGTACGTAATCTATTTAGGAGTTTGTCGTAGACAGATTGTCTCTGAAAAAAGGCCTGCCTTTCTGGAAAACTTCCGATTTTCTTACCAGGAAGTGTCGTTCTGAGCTAACTAGGCAACCAACACCGCGATATTTTGAGCGATAGTCCAGAACGCAAGTGAATGTTGCGTCTGTCATAAAAAAAAAAGTCACGTTCTACAATTTTCAGCTGGACGAAGATATGCATTGAAAACCGCTGGCTTACAGGCAATCTTTATTTAAATAAAGAAAATGAACTCTAATAAGACAAACCTGAAGCTCTTAACACATCCTGATAAAATAGACTTAATGATGAGACTGTTTCTTTTAACCATAACCCTGAAGGATGTTTGTCTCGCAATCTTTCAATGCCAATTGAAAGCCTCAGCGTAATATTATCAATCAACAAAGTTTCACCTCACTATAAATGTAAAATTAGGGGCATTAGTGTGTCTCTTTTTCTTTTTGAAGATCTTTATCGATTCGCCGACGCTATTCTTGTACGATAGGCGCGGCTGATGCGGTGTTTCGTAAAGCTTGCCTTAATTATTTATTCACAAATATAATAATAATTGTTGTTATTATTGTTGATACAACATATTGTATTTGTGGAAAATGCTTTAGTATTTTAACAAGACGCCAGTGATAGAGCTAGCTATTGTCTAACTATTCACAAAGGTGCATTCTAGCGTCTGTTCTGAGTTCATCGTCAAAACTTGAAAGGCCTAGTCACAGAAGAGGAACAGTAAGACTCCTGTTGTTACCAAACCGAAAGAGACATATATGCGACGCACAAATTCGGAGGATACACCATTGGGTCAACTATCATGGAACTAAGTTAATTCGATTCTGCAAACACAAACACGTTGACTCGTGTTATACACACTTTCCAGGATGCCGGTCATATCTAGCTAAGCACGACCTCCTAGTCTTCAACGTAACGCGACTTCTTCATCGTGGGCCGACAGCTTTTGAGACTGTCATTAACCATTTTACGCCTCTTGTGAAGCTAAGAGCTTCCATGTTTACTGTAATGGAATACAATCTGCTTTACCTAATAATGAGTCATATATGACTGCATATTTGTACAATATAATTTCCAATAATAAATATTTATTAGAAGCAATACATAAATTTGTATTGAGTGTAAGTTTAATATTAACTATCCTTCCAATTGTCTATCTATCTCTCTTTAGTACTCCGATACCTACCTTTTCATTTACTCGACCCCGATCAAGATTTATAGACTGCATTTTCATTCAATTTCATTGAAATGTAAGGTTTTGAGCTGCATTTCAAACATTTTTAGTAAATAAACAAAAACTGGAGCCTTTTCACTGACGTTTCTTGTATAACAATCTCAGTAGTGCCCAATCAACGTGACTGACCCTTAAAAAACCAATTCTTCCTATAATTAAACGAGGATTAACAATTTCTCAATAACTAAACGTTCTATTGGCGATTTGGTAACAACCTGCGGAAATTTGGCATGCTCTATGATTGACCGGTTAGCTTTAATGTCAATGTATTTCGTTGTTAGGCTCCTTCGATCGGATGTAGATTCTCTATATTTGTCATATATAACTTGCCATGATATATATTACATTACTGGCTATAAACGTACACCTGTATCTATTTCTGACGCTATAAAATAGTCTATAATAAAATGTGCCAATACCTAAATATCCAAGTGTTGATTGACATTGTTGATTCATTTGGCAAGAAAGTTTCGAGGTTAGTGATTTCCGAGTACATTTTTTTTGTTTTATATATATATATAATTTAGTCATATAATTTAGTTTGCGTTACGAGAGAGGTTCTTTACATCTGCCTGAACGACTGGGTTTCGCCGAAGTCTTTTCTGATATAAGCCGACAGAATGAAATTGAAAGGCGAGCTGAAAACACGATAAGCTTTTTACAAGTATCTGCATGTTATTAACACACGTCCATCAAAATTATGGATGGGTGTGAACATAACTCTCTCGGCGTTTGCGTCATCGATAGTTGCTGCATGGAAAATACTTTATGCTGATCAGATCAGTCAATGACCATATCGATTATAGCTAGTTCTCTAGTAAATTGAACTCTCGTAAAGGCGAGCAAAAGACAGTTTCCTGAAACTCAACTGGCAATATCGATGAAAGACACAGAAACTAATTCCTGAATTTATAGGCCATATATCAATGATTTACCGCTGGGTCGGGAACACTTGTGGGTGGACCAGTCTTTAGCCAACTAACACACTGCTGCCCGATTGACTTGTCACAGTGTAGTTAGTGAATTAATGAAAAACTGAAGCTATTTGCGTGGCTAGTTTTAGAACGAGTACGTTAAGGTTCATGGTGGAAACTTTAAAGGGAAATAGTGTGGGCCATCTATACGATGTCATAAACGATCAGGTGAGGAAAGTCAACGTGGAGATTTTCTTAGTTCCTGCTTAATGCAGAGATTATTTATTTATTACTAATTCTTTTATACAGTAAAGTTTAGCTATATTTTATTTCAGATACCTGTTTGTTTAGAGGGTATATTTTACTTAGTAAATGCCATGTACATAACTGAGTTACATTACTAATTTTTTTCCAATCATTGCTTATACACATCGGTTACACAGAAAGCCACCTCACCATATGCCCTCATAGTCAGCTTGTCTATCAAATGGACTATAAGCAGCCCAATTTTAAGGATTTAGTAACTACTTATGAATCCAAATTCAAGTTATCATACTGGTAGATAGATAATAAGTACGCGACGCCAAGTTCTACACTGACGACAAACAAATCGTATACAGTTATTGTCGTAAGTGTTTCCCGTTAGTTAAGCACTAGTATTAACGCTGGAACCCTTTAAAAAATTGGCTGACTTCTTTTCCTATCTTATCATAGACGAGCTTCATGTACGCAACAATCCTGATGGCTCTGGCTTTGGTCCCTCGAAAGCCGAAACGTCTTTTGCCACCAAATTTGTTACAATGCGATGCTATTTACTTCAAATTGATCTTGCTCTACCGAACGGCTATCCACACTTAGCACATTTTGTGCGAAATTCTTGCGGAGACAACGTGCTGCATGGTTCCTTGTAGGTTTTACTTATAGCACTGGGACAGGAACGCAAAAGCATTGAGTCAGAAGTATCGTAACATAGAATATATTACAGAGGCTATATTTTCAAATATTGCTTCTATAACACACTGATGGACGCGCCGTATACATAATCGTTAACTGTGTCAACACTCTGCAACATATTCGTCAGACCAGTGGAGGGCGACGCCACACCGGTTAGTGATATAGAAGATTTCTTGAGAGATTCTAGGCTATATCAAGTAACTTTTAACTTTTATATAAGGAAGCACAATTGTTCAATTTTACAATGTCGTTTATCTATGCGGAGCTTAGCGATCTAAGTGTTAAGTCACCCTGGCATTATCGTTTTAATATCTCCATGGATCCGTTTAAGGGTACATCCTTTGAAATTAAAGGGCGTAGGGCATTTTATCCTCTTAGACAACGATGAAGCGCTTTGCCGGGCACCAGGAAAGCTATTGAAAGCGCCGTCGTTAGCTCGCAGCTTAGTTGCACGTATAGCAGTAACAAAAATTCGCTTACCGTTCCATTATACGGCGCAGCTCTGTCAACGGTACATACGTGATAGGGAAACTCGTTTTTATACAGTTACAATATATACTGTTACAAGAAGCTTGCCAGGTATAAAAAAAATGTAATAAATCTATTATAATCCTCAACAGACTCTCTTATTTTCAACATAAATAATGCTACCGAAAATTCCGAAGAGTAGTAACGTTAATTATTTTTATAACTAGATTTTTGCTAGAGACACTCAAAATTTCAAGTGTCAAGAAGCCATAATGTCTGCATCCTTGCATTCTCATTTGACTGGAATCAGCTAATCTACCTATTAAGAGCTATCTGCAGATGCTGACTTTGCCGCCATCGAAGTAATGGTTTCATTACCAACTACGGCGTCCCTCAGCTACCTGCCGAACGAAATACACGGGAAACAGAAGCGTCATATACACAATGCCCACAATTAAATCAATGGGTAGTATCCAGACAGACTAGTAGTTATCAAGAGCAATAAACGTGAGCAAAATGCATGTTTAGACGATGGATAATATTTCATGTTTGTGACTGGGCAATAATGAAGTCATCATATGGACTAATTATAGTATATATAGATTTGCTAATGCTTAATACAGACATATTATATAATTGGGCGGTAGCAATGGCTAGGTCTTTGCACGAGCCTAATTCAGTAAACACAGTTTAATTTATAGTAGCCTATCGACGCAAAGATAAAAGCTAAATTATGTCAAATCGATACATCTTTAGTACATCAGCAATGTGCTACGGCATCGTTAGGGTGATTTTTACTGTGAAGGATTATTTCATCTATTTGTGACTGCTTGAACAGATAACTCCAGAGTCCACTCTTTCAAATACCGGCTTCTATTCGATTAGATACCTAATGACAATAATCGTGCACGTACAGCATATGTTCTATGTAATAATGAAAGCAACTATGTGTGATGATCGTGCATAAACACGTTGACTGATCTGTCAATCATCTGAAACGATGTCTACAGCTGTGTCTACAGTTGCACAAAGCGTAGAAAGCAAACATAAAGTTTGATTTCTACTTGATGCCACCCACGATGGTGAGTGCTGAAACCCTGCAATCTAGAACGTAGTGGCATAGAGAACGTACTGAGTCTGCCAAAATTTCTGTTCCACATTAAATCAAGGACTGATATCAATAGGGCAACTTAACGAAACTTAGTTCCAGTCACGTTAGTCTTGTTAATATATGGAAATCTCGAGTAGAAATTAGTCCGATCAATGGAACCACAAGGGGTTTGCCTAACAAGGTTGCGCTTGTCGCTCTGCAACCGGCGATCGATGCAGTGTATCCACCTGCTACTGTGGTTCCTTTCCTTTATACGGAACACAAACAACGAGCATTATGTCAGTCTTACCCATTATATCTAGAGGTACGAGATGCTAAATTTGTCTCTCACTAGTTGATTATGGAGTATAGTGTTCACCAACATCAACCGTCTGTTTGACACTGAATTTATCCCACTTCGTTGTTTTTCATTAGATAAAATAAATAAAATTAATATAAATCAGTGTACTGTGATTCGGTTTTTCAAATCAAGTTGCTATTTTATCACATGATCATAATTCGATGTGGCTCGTTTTAATACGTCTCAGTCGGGTTTTCAGCGCTCAGTGTGAACTCTAAGGATGCGACTGAGACTCGTAGCGATAGCGAACGTATCCTCGTTGAATGGTATCGAAACATGTGCAACATCAACTCGCATCTCATGAAAATAACGGACGAGCTAACAGGTGGCCGAGGAGCTGATGAAGTAGAGGACTTCTAGAAATTGTTTTTGTAGATTTTTGAGAACGGTTCGGGTTTTTAGCTAGGTATCTGGCTGGCACAAGATAGAGCTACATGGTTATTTGACAATAATAACCACAAAATTCCTTGACGCGCGTACTCTAACATATGAATTATTTTACTGGAAAATAAACCGTTCGACGCAGAAATGCGTTTATAATCTAAGCACGTTTATTAGCGACAGGCAAGAGCCGGCGACACGAGAACAGAATCAGCAGATGAACCGACGATAAGGAAAAAGCAATGATAGCGACGGCTTTATTGATTGATAACACCGGCTTATTCAAATGTGCGATTTCTCAATCCGTTTGTTCCCCCTGGCACGAAAATGCACTGAAATTAGAAGCACGTATGTCATTAGAGTGCACCCCTAGTCTACAAAATGTTACGTTGATAGAAAAGTGTTTTATGAAAAACGTTTTTCATTAGTAAAGTATTGGTTGTTTTCTTTTTAAGTTAACTTAATTTTTTAAGTAAAATAAATCTAAGTTACCTAACTGATTTAACGCCAACTGATTTAAAATCATCGAGCCTGGAGATACTGGCACGAATACTTTCATTGGCAAAGAAATACCTAAACTTACTTGCTTCCAAGCTACTTCATCCATAACTTTACCTTTTGAATCTACTCCGCGAAACTGAAAAGCACTCAGTAAGACGTATACAATAAATGTAATCGTGTAGCTGTGATAGATTAAATAGCAATCATTTCCTAAAATATGTAAGACAAAAGCGTTTTGACAACTTTCTAGCGATCTGTATAGAAAACCCTAAACGAATATTTGTATAGGCCTTCTCAGCTTCAGAGCACATTACAGTATAAGCATTATCTTTTTCTTTAGAGCTCTAACTACACAAGGTTTGCTTGTCGGCTCCCCTTAATTGCGCAATCATTTTTAATACCTTCGCATTTCAATCCGAGTCTTTTTAATTAGTATAAATTAAATTTATCGATTTGCGCGTCCCTGTTCGACCCCCATCTCTGCGTTGGCGCGCTACCCTCTACCATTTACGCCAACCCTTCTTCGGCAGATAAATCGTCCCGTAGCGACGAGACCATACACAGCGGCAATAATAACAATCGCGGTACGGCCTCCGTTTTGGCAGACTTTCTCCAACGACGTTCGTGTTCTATTGATAGATATTACTATAGTTAAATGCAAGTGAATCTATAACAAAGATTTTTACAGTCATCTTGCTGGTATGACCTATTATTATAACCAGCATCACTGTCATCAACGGTAAGGGGCCCGCCATCAAATCTGCATCACAGTAACGACCTATTGCCATAGTGTTTCTGGCCTCGCTGTGGTTTTTTCGCTTATTGTTTGTGTTTATCTGCGTGTGTGTGTGGTCGTTTATTTTTATGAAAAAGGCGCTTTCCTCGTTTGTCCTTTCGTTGAGAGACACAGTGAAACGCTAGAGAGCTCAGGAAAACTGACTGGGTAGACGATTTGGAGGGACCGCCAGAAACAGCTAATTTCCTCCACTGGGCTTTCAGCTGTAATTTGCAAATGCGTCTCTTATACCAGTGACGTTGTTCGGATTTGACCTAAAGCAACAAATATATTGACGCCGTGTGTACGCAACGATCAAGCGATGCTTATTTGTGCATAATGAATAAATCTTATAACCAGTCAGGATACAAGTTGCTCGTTGTTCAACAAAGAGCATTTAACAAGAATGTGACGTTTGCCTAATCAAATTAGAAGTGTTTTTATTTTGTGTCATTATTTCGTCGATTTGATAAGCACCAGTATTGAATTGATCCGTGCTTGCGTGTTCTAATGTGCCATCTCTCAATTGGATTCGTTCAACTCATTCTTCGGTAACCTGCGCACTGTAAAAAAAGACGAAGTCGACACAGGCAACTGGGACAGGACGACTACGAGCTACACGTAACGTGTATATATATATATATATATATATATATATATATATATATATATATATATATAACAGTAACGGATACAATGGCGACAACGTCATCTGTTCCACAGGAAATACTCAACGATTTGAGTACACGATTTCTAATACATCTGCCTCCAGGGGAAAAAAAGGATCCGACCCGGTTGTGTTTTCAGGTTTGTTTCTAAACCGTCCGTCTTCTAAACTTTTTATTTTATTTTGTTATTTCGTATTAGAATGCGAAAAATCGACAGAAGTATGTTCTTCGCAGCAATGGCTGCGGCTGCCCCCAAAAAAGCTCCGATACCATGAAACAGAATAGTAATTGCTTTGGATTAGAGCGGTAACGGATGAGATGTTTGTCGTTCTATCACAGGAAGAACTCGTGCGGTGTTATTGAACAACTGCATCGTTGTTCTGTTACTAAATGGATATCACTGTAAATGGGATCGTTGGTCTATTTCAATAAATTAACGACTGCCTAGAGTTGCATGCGCGTTTGGGGTATTTTTATCCTTGCGTAGGGATTTCTCAATAAAGCTGACGTAATTTCTCGTTAGGAGAACTCACCTCTACTGTATTTTACCAAGAAAACAAGATGATAAGTACGACATTGAAACATGTAGCTATGAACAGATTGAGCAGGATAAAATAGAATCCTCGGCATGATCTAGCTTAGCATACGGACTTCATGCAATGATAACAGTCCATATTATGACGAACTGGGCAACACAAGGCGAAGCTTATATCGAGAGATATTTGTAACTCGTACACTGATCCGGCCCGATTAGAATATATCGACTGGTCGAAATCCAATATTTCGTTGTCTCCAAAAAGTGACAAACTGTGACACCGCCAGTGTTCTTCAGTCGTGAATTTCATTGTAGCTTGTTGGCATTTCAAGCTAAAATCAATAAGATAAGTTTAGAATAATGTGTGAACAAGAAAGATAAATAACGCCAACACAACAGCGATTAATGCAATGATAACAGAAAGCCAGTTAACACTGACAGTTGTAACAATTTTGGAAGATCGATCTTGTTCTTTTTTCAGATGGAACTCGCTTATTGGTTTTACTTAGACTATTACGCGGGTGATGGCAGTGGCCTGCCGAATCTGTCGATGCGAGACTTCACACACGCACTTTTCGCCCACATACCGGGACTTCGCAAATACTCTAAACGAACAGACGACATCATCGCAACATGGAAACAATTCAAGTTTGCCGTACCAACTTTCGGATGTATTCTTGTAGGTGATCGCAGACTGACTGGGACGATGATACAAAAACCGAATCGTTGTAAAATGAAAACAGAAAGAGTGCTAGCATTTTATGGTAATAAATATGCCTTATCGTTATGGGTTTCACTGGTCAATTCCAATTCAGTTATATCTAGTTACGCTACTTCGTAAAAACAATCCCTGAAAATCCAGTTATCGCCGGAGATTTGCAATTGTCTAGTAGTTAGGTATCTCGTTCTTTATTTGATTATGATCAGGTGGATGACTCCTTAGAACAGATTCTATTAGTCCAAGGCTATTGGAGCAAAGGATCTTGGGGTTTTCCAAAGGGCAAGATCAACGAAAATGAGAAGCCTCACAAGTGCGCAGCGCGCGAAGTTCAAGAAGAGACAGGGTTCGACTGCTCCCATATGATTAACAAGAAAGTATTCCTTGAGAGGCGCGTGGGTGATCATGATCAGAGGTATGCAGACTTTTATGCTTTTAACGATGTATTGTCTTAACTAATTGCCTACTACACTTTTAATTATCACAATTACTCCTCTTTCTTTCTGTCGAATTAATACACGCTACATGATGTTTAAAGGTAAATTGACTGAATTGTAATACTGGGCAAAACAAAGTGCTATTTATTCCATTGCACCAAACGTATAAGGAAGGTATCCATTGGAATGGACTTATAGTAGCGCAAGTTATGAAAAAGTTTACTAAAATAAGAAAGATAACGACAGCAAAAAAACAGCATTCGCATCAGTGGAGATGTTTTTTGTTCACGTCATTTTGCAGGTTGTATATTGTTCACGGCGTATCCCGTAACACGGTATTTCTCCCGCAAACTAAAAAGGAAATCCGCTCGATTCGTTGGTTCCACCTTCGAGATCTTCCATCGTTCAAAAAGGACCCAACGCCAACTGAACGACTGGGAATCAATTCAAATGCATTTTTCATGATAATGCCGTTCGTTAAGCCTTTGCGGAAAATGCTTAATCAACTTCGGCAGGCTACTGGTATTTAATTTTTTATCTTTATTCGATTCTAAAGCTACGAATGACATCTCACCATAAGAGCTTCTACCTTGAATGCCGCACATAGCATCGATATATATTCTGCATAGTCACTAAGGCCCTATACGCCAATACTTTCCTGCTTGCTTCAAATTTTTACGTTCCAGGTAAGAGCCCGTTGCCGATGTTGAAGACGCCGAAACCCGCTAGCGAAGCAGGATCAATTCCAAAGAGCAAGACCGGTCCGAGCTCTGTTTCTGGAGACAGTTCAACACAGTTATCTAATAAAATTAATAAACAGCAAAATCACCGAGATGCTCAGAGTTCGACAACGGGAAGTAGACGCTCGTCCGTTGAGCATCATGCACGAAGATCGCTTAGTAAGCTTTTCGACGAGGCTGCGAAGCTTCAGGATGTCGGCGACCAGTTTACCATCACGAACAATCACGGCATCATGGTTAACAAAAACACAAGCAATAGCAACCATAACGTTAATAATAACAATCATGTTAATAACAATGTGGGTGGCAAAGGTGGAAAGCACAACAAATCTGCAAAACAGGGAAAGCGCTCCGCTGGAGTGGGAAGCGCAGGCGGTAGCACAGAAAGTGGTCGAACAGCAGGAAACACGTATAAACCGCCAAATTTCGATATACCGGCGTGGAAGAACTTTAAACTAGATTACGACGAATACGCCAAGCTTGTCTATTAATGGGGGTAGAGTTTACTTTTGATAACTTCTCATCTCTTCACTGTATGATTTTGTGTCGCATGTATATCCGAAAGATTTTGTAGTATCATGACGATAGTCTGCCAGTTGACGGATAACTGATTTGGTACATGCATCCAGTAGATATGATACGATGTACCTATAATAATTTTCTCACTTCAGTAGCAGTGCTGGTCTCCTATAAACGGGCACTCGTTGGCGGTACAGTGGTATAGATCCCGCCTTTATACAAGCTAATGACTGCTGCGGATGCTCGTACCCAGATAACATAACGCATCGCGTATATCCATTCCACAGATGTTTGTATATAGCTCTTTTTATTATTTTTGCACAGGGTAACTATTGAATGTTGAAGCACACACGCTTACATATCTTCGTGGTTCACCGCCCTGTAGATAGCATAAGCAGCTCATAGCGTATATTCGCTTATTAGCCGCGTAACGAGACAATGTTTTTGTCGATTCTGATTAAAAGGTTAACGCAAAATCTACGCAATACGTAAATTCATGTATGTAAATACACTGCATCGAGCGCACTTTAACGCTTGTGATATAAAGCTATTTAATGATTCGCAGCGTTCACAACATGTAAAAGATACATACAAACGAAGTCGCACTGCATTATATATATATATATATATATATATATATATATATATATATTAGTATGAGTAATGTGTAATGCAAGGATGTAAATATAATGATACCATTATTTATACCATGCTTTACTAAACAGAAAAATCACGGCGTTGCGCTCTTCAGCTGATGACTTTTTTTACGTGACAACAAATCATCTAACCTGTACAGTAACTGTATAGAAAATGACTGCGTTAAGAGAGCCTGCTGCTGTTAGCGATTTACTCGTCTCAGCCCCATACATAAAAAGCGAAGGAGTGAAAGAGAAAGAAAGAGAGACACGAAGAGAAAATTATTGGTTTTTTGCATTGCTCTGTCAAAACAGCGGACAAATTTGTACAAAAAAAGCCGTCGGAATAGACGCAGAAATCATCATGGATAGTAAATCACGCCTTCAACCACGCAATCAATCTGTTCACTTGTGTTAATTACCAAAAAGATATTCACGCAAGAACTCACAACTTGTGCGATACGCTGATCACAAAAAGAAAGGGCGAGAATTTATTAAAATACGACGATCTTAATGTCCATTGAACGAATATTGAACTGTATCATGACTGACTCGGTGAACGCGCGTGATGTATTATGTATAGGCGGAAATGCTCACGTTAGAAATCTGTTGTTGCATCTTTCCAACGTCAACCAGAATTACATTATAAAGAAGCTCAAGGGGAAGAAGATCACATGAAGGAAGCAACTCATCGAAAAAGTCTATCTGTAAAAAAGTCTGACAAAATATAAACTTCTTTTACCTTCAAGTTAAAATTATGACATCTGCTTTATCATTCATGGGTATTTATTACTAGTTAAATCGAGATGGCAGTCGAAGAACTCGGATTCGAATCTGTGGCTAACCAAAAAGTTTTTGAAAGTAAGTCGCTTGTAGCCCAGGTAGTTAAATGATTCATATTTGATTACTCAGCAGAGATTCCTAATACGGTTAAACAAAAAAAAAAAGTTAATACGTAGATGTTACTACCTGCAGTTAATTCAAGAACAAATCATACGAAGCAGTGCAATGCGAACTGTGTGCAAAATTCAAAATTCTCAGTATGTTTATGTAGTATGACCATTTCACTGGGCCGATTGCATTTGGACTAAATGATTTCGACATCGATGGCTATGTAATGAACCAATTTAGATGCTTATTAACTGAATATGCCATGCATCTACCGCTATTTATACTGTTCAAGCCCAATTACGAAGTGCAGAAATCTTACACTGGCACCAGGACTAATATTGGACGTTGATATAAGGTAGACAATGTTTTAACTTACTTTTAAAAAAAGCTACAACTAAAAATGTTATTCTATAAAATATGGTTTTTATCTTACCATCGAAGTATTTTGTGGTTTATTTGCTAATTGTTTTCTTTATTTAAATTATCTTTTATGATTAGACGCTTTAACAAAGTCATTTCTATTTACGAGTTGACGGTTTTCTAAACAGCTTCTAAATTTCGAACGCAAACGTACTATTTGCAAAAAACCGTGCCTTCTTTAAGGTTGAAATGTAATGTGGGAACTATTTGTGTTGATCTAGCGTGATTTCAATAAGTTTTAGTAGCAAATGTTCATTAAGTAATGGTAATACGCAAAAAAAGTGATTTTCAAATCGTTAAAGGTCGAATGATAATATTTGGGAACCACGACGCCGTGATCAAGGTAAGGCTAATCAAAACCGGTTTTACGCAGAGGAACCTGGACGCATGCCACATATCAGCTAATCCAATCCAAAAACTGTACTAAAGTATTATTGTGAGTGTCATTCTGTCTTATGTAGCGTTTAGGACACTTTTAGGAAATAATGTCATACCAAAGAGCCCTGCTGACGTTATTATGCTATACAAAGAGAAAAAGCATCTACAACATCTCAAATATACTCTAAGTAGATAGAAAAACGAAAAGACATCGTTTAGAAAATGATTCCTTAAAATTAAATTGCACTGTTTTCTCCAGTACGAAACTCAGGCATAATTATTTACAGTTACGTATAATTTAATTAAAAAAATCTGAACTTTTCATTGATCCGACTTATACTATTGTTCAAACGAATGACACCCGTTAATACAATAACAAATACACTGTGTTAGATAGCCAAGATTAAATATTTAAAGCGTTTTGTACCGTTTGGCAAATAAGCTTGACGAACCTGAAAAATCTAAGCAGTACCAGCTTTAAAGCAGAATCGCATATTATTGACCAGATCCGCTTCTCATAGACCCGCAAACTAGCTTTATAATTATGCAAAAAATTCCTATAGTAGTACGGCAAAGTGATCTATATTCAATCACTGTCTTAAAAAATCAATCTTGAAAACGCATTATAGTTTTCTTTTGCAAGTATAATTCACTCTAGAATATAGTAGGTTGTTCTATTCTAAAAGATTATTTTCTCTAAATAATGGCTTCCAATCAGACAATTTCTAATTGTACAATAGTACCTGAGGTATGCCCACATATTTCGACACTATTTTTATTGCTCCTGTCCACAATTTCACATATACACAGTCATTGCAACTGACATATTGATGCAGTAACAAATATCTACTAATTTTCTCTAATTTCCCAATCCGTATAACAACGGTTATAGTGAGCGTTACAATTTCTTAGTAGTATAATAGAATGGAAGATCTAGCTAATTAAGCACATACAAAGCCTTAGCACGTTGCAGAAGTGATTCAGAATTCTGTGAAGTACTGAAATGTCATACCCACTGTCGTCTTATAAAATCAGTGTTTTCCGGCGGAGCGGGGTAAGTGCATACAGAATATTCCACGTTAAACTTTATAGTAAGATCCTTCTATTGTCAGATGTTTTCATGAGCTTCGAGTTTTTTTGTAAGAGCCAACAGCATCAAGCATGGGTGAGCTTTATTATAATAGTTATACGCCGTATATGTGAGAACTGAATAAATTCATCTGATTTGGTCGATCAGAGTTGAGCGGCTAAGTTAGGGCGCTTTCTCGGTTAGGTTCTTAAACTTTCCTCGCAATTGACTTACTCTCAAATAGAAGCATTTGATAAATCGCTACACACATGCTACAATATGACAATTTAACGGCAATTAATCACCTTCTTTTAGCACTTTGTGTACACATGTCTTCTGCCCGTGCATCGCATGTATGAAACATTTATAGTTTGACAAATTTACCTCGCTATAGTATCCATTGTAGAACTATTGTGTATATACCCCGTATCAAAATCTATTTACCAAATACGCATTTATGGCCTACCACTTACTACAATTTTTGTCTACTGTTTGTCGGAATTGCCTCCTTTGATAGTTTTACATAATTAAATTGTACGTGACACACAGATCCTCCCATTTTTGGCTTCACACAGAACGCCCACTCCCTCCGCTTCAAGAGCCACCAAATGCGTGTTGTCGGCTCAACAACAACAACAACACCACTGACAGACACACTTTACGGCAAGAGAGAACACTGGAGCACCACTGATCACTGCCAACCAAAAAAGCTATGCTAAATAGTGACATCTCGTTCGTCCGTATTAGGTTCATAACGTCGTTAGTGCATGACTTTTCTATGAAGTCTATAATTTCAACGAATCAGTGCAGGGTTGTCTGTGTCGGTTTGTGAAAACTAGAAAAGAGACCAGTCTTAGAAAAGAACGTACTATAAAGTGGATTAGTTCGCGTTAATTGGATTAAGTGGCTGTGCCAGCTGACTCTGTCGGACAAATCTAGGCTGTGACTCATCCTCATGTGCTCTGCAATTTTTAGGAGTAGTAGTGTGCATAGAATATAACGGTAACTGGTCAAACCAACAAAAATGACACACAAGGTTCGTATGTTATTACGCGGCAATGTTTCCATTCAACGTCAACCAGATAAGGTTTGATATAATCACTTAACTTTCTGATCTGTGTACCAAATAGCTGTCATGGTAACAAATCCAAGTTGGACGTAAACTACAGAGTGGCCAATTGGCAGTTTGATGCATCTTACGATCTATTCTATCGATAAAACGATTCTATACAACTCCAGTTGGAATTAGCGAAGATGACGCGTGCGATTTAGCTTTGTCAATGTTTTTGGTTTCTTTTGGTGTTTAGTACCTCACGCATTTCTGCAAAGCGGATATGATTTATTTTTTGTGCCTAAATAGGTGGTGCAATTTGAGTGGTATCAGAGAAGCAATGATGGCGCGGAACCACTTCGATGCCCTGTGGAGATCCCAAATCGAACAAACATTGAAGAATTAGCATTTCGGCTTGTCAAAGAGAATGGGCTGCCGTTCTACGTAAAAGCAGGTTAGTGCCCGTATATGCCCTGTTCCCTGCTTGTCCTTAAATTTCGTTAGTTGACAATGAAGGTGAACAACCGTCCGACTACTCTCAGACAGAGCTAAAAACACGATCTCGCGGATTAACGAACTATAACGATATGTGGCGGGAATCCTATGTGTGGCCAGCAGAAACGAATCAAATTTTTTCAGGTTAAACAAAATCGTTTGAAATATGCAAGCATTGGCTGTCTCACTGTCAGCCCTTAAAATAGATGATAAAAAAGATCCTTTTAGATAATAACAACGTTGTAGGGTTTGCTTTTTCTATTTTTCACGTAGTACACTTCTGGAGCTTGTCCATATATATATATATATATATATATATATATATATATATACGGGTTTGGCGTAATGTCAGCTCCATATGAAGTTTGTGTGCACAAATTCTTTATTGCCTTCAACTTCTGCGCTGTCGAAGGAGGTATTTTGTTACCTACTCTCAGCTGTTCACTGAAATAATTCAAATTTGACCGGGCCACAACTTTGACGTTCCGTGGCTTTCGCAGCTGCTTTAACCTGCAAGTTGTGCGAGGTTTTGCTGTTAGCCTGCGAGTCAAAAACTAGCTTCACCAGTGAAAAATCACGAAATATTGCGAGTTTGCGTAAAGTGTCCCACAGCTATTCTGGTTCTACCTGCTAAGTGCCTGTGTAACCTACGAAAACAGTCGACAAGGTCTCGCGGCATATCGCTCGTCTCAATTAACATTATTATTACACTGCAGTGCAGTTTCTATGCCGGCACAACACACCACCTTAGGCGAACGGAAGTCGACGGAAGTTTGGCGCAATTTTTCACCACCATCTCGACACGGTCGGGGCTCTGGCATTGGCCGAAAGATTTTTCTAATGTGCGCACAAAATTCATTGAATGTCTGACATCAATGAAGTGGACAGACGTTTTACTCGAAGTTAAACTTTCGAGTAAATGTCTTGGTTCTGTTAAACATACAGAATTCTCTGAACAAATGTCCTGTTAACACAAAAGCATGTACTTTTATATGAAATTTATATTATGTGAACCAACTAATACGTGTCTCTTTATCGAAACGTAGTTTGGCTATATGGCTAAATATCAACGAATATCAAGGTTGAAGGTTTCATACAATCGTAACATTACCCTAGAAGAAGCAAATAATAGAAAAATTAATCATCTACCTTTATTCTCTTAAATATACCGGTAGTAACTATATTCGTGCCTTCAAAATTATAGGTAGACAATAATGCCTATATGCAACAAAGGAACTTTGTTGCATCCACTGATCGATTTAGAAATCTCATCTTGGTAATAGTCTACTGACATAACGCTGTAGTTCTAAAATGATATGTTTGTCTCTCATTTTTGGTGTACATTGTTGCAAAACTCTTGGATTCTAACAGAGAAGAATAGACTCTTATAATAACTGATTTCGAAAGAGTATTACCATTAATTTATGATAAGCTTGACATACACCTGTGTATGGATCAATATTGACGAGCACAGTATAATATATTTGCAACGCAAAATAGGCATTGCTTCAACTTGTCTGTACCCAATCACACTGGATTGAGTTGAACTGACAGACCTTTCTGAGTGTACCTGTCGTGATGGCGCGGCGTAAGACCAAACCTTCGGAATCGACGCGACCCCCGCCGAAAGAACAAGTCGTTCAGATTATTGTATCGTCCGAAGATGGTGCGTCTGCGCCACCTGGTGGACAAGGCATACCCACTGGGACCGTTGGGAACACCGGCTCTGATGGTAAGACAGCGATCTCGTTATCCCTTATTGGACCACTGGGTAATCAGAACACTGAGAATCGGATGGATGAAACCAGTTCTAGTAGATCACGCGGCCGATCTGTTAAAGCAGTAGTTCCAACGGTGTTGACACCGAACGAAGTCATCGTCACTGAAGAGCGTGGTAAGACACGAACCGTCGTCAAGTCGAATTACCAAACTAGGCGGAAATCGGGGGTTCTAAAGCAAGCGAAGTCGACGGAAGTCATTTTTGACGAGATTCTCCTTGAGAACTTTAACTCTCAGCAACAGGAAGTTCGGGAGGAGCCGTTACCAAAGAGGAGAAAAGGCCGACCGAAGAAACAGCAAGTAGTTAAGACCGAAACTTTACTAGACGATGGTGAGCCTTTGCTTCGGGTGAACGGTGTGGACTGCTCTCAGGCAATGGACCCCGACGCGATTGAACGACCGCCACCTGTCCACGATGATATAAGGCTGTCACGCAAGTTGCAACTGCTCGTATCAGACGCCAATGCTACGAGCTCTACAGAAGCCGAACGCGAGGCTACGCTTAAGGCTAAAGTTCTCCTAGAGCAAATAGCAAATTATAAAGCAAAAGCGTGCAAATTCTCTGTCGAGACCGCTATTGAATACATGAAATGGTTTGAGCTTAGCTCGAAAAGTTATGAATTTGTTAGAACAATGCACGGTGGTGGAGGGTTATTTACGCTGCCGTCAGCTAAAACGATTCGGCGATACGTCGATCCGTTTAGCGAAAGCGTTCAGTTGACAAATCTTGAAGCTGCTCAAAGCACGTTTTTGCTTCAACAGCTGCATCATGCTCAAGTTGAACTGCCACCGGACCAGCACGAGCAACCCCATCATGTCATTGAGCATGGTCCGACTGACGATATCGTTCAGGAGGGCGGCGTGTTTTACGTTGAAGAAGCCGCTTCGGCGGACTCGGAGTTCCTGGTGAGGATTGATAGCGCTACAGGCGAGCAGCAGGTCGTGGGTAGGACGGGTTCAGTAGTGCGATTAATGACACAAGACACACAACCAGTAGTTCAACAAGAGGAAACAGAGCAGCACCACCACTACGAGCAACAACAACAACCACAACAACAAACAGAAGAAGTAATTGAAGTTTAGCTCACCAACCTATATTCAGTCTATAGAGTATATCTTAATTTCTATTGAATGCAAAATTAATATAATGAGATGCAAACGCTGCGACGCTGCAGTCGCAGAAATATGATTATTCATAAGGCTGGTTAGAAAGACGCGTTGTGTTTTCATTTCATGGAATAAGGACACCGCGACGTCTTAATAAACTGTTTGAACTGCTGCAAAACCGAGCGACAAAGAGGCTTTAACATCGATGTTAAGAGGAGACGACTTGTCAGTAGTCTATAATTACACAAACAATATAGGATAGAGCATATCGCTTGAAAAGATGTTGAGTATATGTATATAGTAATAATTTTTTAATTGCAAGTTATTGTGCAATTGAGAATAATTATTAGCGATAATTTGACAACTACTTTATTACTTTCCTGAATCAGATCTGTGACGGGGTCTGTGATGGCAGAATCGATGTTGCAGATCTAATCGCGGAATATTGGTGTTGTATTGGAGACAGGCTAGATCTACAATCATCCATCTTCAGGGAAATATTGTGCTGAATGTGAAATTCGGCTACACACAAATCAATTGATTTTATCTATTAATTTCCAATATACGTAGGTTTTAGTGATACCAGTGCTGAAAAACTAAAGTAGGTAAGAATTGGTTTAAAATGTGCTGAAGCTAAGCAGCATTATACAGAACTCGTGTCAAGTCACACTGCCCTGTTACAGGAACCTACTAAACACTGTCTAATTTTAATATCTAATTTTGAATGTTAAAAAAAGTATATGTGCCGTTTTTGTTTTCTTCTATATAAGAAAACGCACGCCATGTTTGAAACTGTTGAATTAATTTTTGCTATGTTAATAACGCTTACATATTTGGAGGCAGATGGTTGTGTCAAAACATTTACAGCTGCGTGGGACCCGCGCACGTATGCAGTTATAATAGTTAGTAAGAGCAATATATAATTGAAGTTGTGGGTAAAATTGTATTCGTGTGAATATGTATATAAGTACTACATCAACATAGATCTAATAAAATTTAGACAGCTTACAAGGAAGGACGTTTTTTCCAGTGCTTTAATAACACATTTCTTTATTTATGTTGATGATAATGCTAAATAGAGAGAATACGAAAATAGTATTAACTGATACAGTATAGGCTCAATTGATAAGATTCGGCAACATCTCTATCCTGCCAAATTCTCTCTCTCTACAAGGTTCAGTTTATATATATATATATATATATATATACACGTACGTATATATAGCGGAAATCCATGGCCGTTTGACGGATACCGAAGGACTAATTTGATGTGGCTATATAATATCATGAACTGGCAATAAGTAACTAAGCTTTTTGTAAGTATAGTGTAATTTAAAAAATCACATGTGCATAATATTCAATGCGAAATATTGTACTAGTGCTCTTACCACCAACATCACAATAAACAAGACAAGCGTTCATGGTGATAAAAGGGAACCATGAAAAAAAGCTGCGCATGTAGTCATTAGTTTCAAAGTCTAATTTCAAGATAGTTTTAAGCATCTTATCATTTTAATCAATTCTCGAAGAAGCAATATCAATCTGAGCACTTTTTCTCTAGAGATGTTAGAAATTTATAAAGCATTAGTAATGTATTTGTAGTTCTTAATATGCGACCATATTTTTTGTAGACAAAGAGCAATTTTTTAGCAAATATTTTTTTGCGCGTGTACCCACGTGTTTTTAAGAAATGCTTAGGTATCTTTCAATATTTAATGAGATAGCTCACATTGCAATCGGCATTGATGAGCGATATTAATCGATCGTATTTAGAAAACATTTACCAAATACAACATGATCAACTTGTATAAACCCCGAAACTAAATGCTATTAACAATAAAATAGTAAAGAAAACCATGTAGAACCGTTTTTTTTTTCCGCATATTAGATATATTTTGCTAAATAAGCAAAGTAGCAGTTAACAATACGACCGCTTCTCAACGGCCACCAGTTTGTGGCATATTTTTCTGGGCACCGTCTATTTGATTTGGTTTTATTGGGAATTAATTTGACCTCAATTAAAATTGGTCAGCCCTGGGCCATGATTAGCGATCTTAGAAACGCGTTAAATTGTGGCTCGTCTACAGCGCACACTGCATTCAAGGTTCGCGCCAGATGGGGAGTGAGACATTTTGAGTGGACTTTTTCCTGCTGCCTCTGACGGTGAAATGTAGACCCTGGCGGCGTGCCGGCTAGTTTAGCGGTAAAAGCCGCCGGCGATTTATTATTGTTTTGATTACGGAAGCTGTTTGCCCATTCGCGCCTTTTAGTAGCAGGCGTTTACATACTCCGTCGTTGTTTCCGTGACGTTCGGAAGGAGGCTCTAGATTTGATGATCAGCTAGCAAAGAAAAATGGACAAATGGTGATTTATAGTAACGGCATTTACGTGTACAATTTTATTTTATCACTTTTTGTAATGAAGGCCACTGCACGTTCCTGTTGAACTTTATAGTTTCGTGGTCACGTCGTGAATAATTTATTTTTGCAGTCTTCTGTAATCACTGTGCGCGCATGCGTGCCTGTTCGTCCAGAGGATACCTTTTCGCTAATTCCATAGTTTACAACGAGATTTGGTGGTGCAATTGCTTATTCGCGTATCGACGTCTTTTTTTGGAAAATATCTATTAAAAATATGGTATCGATACGTTTTGCTTGCAAACAAAGCTTCAATCAAAGTTAGGCAACTAACAAATCTGAACCGATAGGATGCGCTATGTGTTCACGAACCAAACCTAGTCATTTGTTTGACAGTAACTGAGGTAAATCACTGACCTATAAAGACAGAGTTCTGGATATTCATTTACTGAATGACTGCTAATAGACGTTGAAACAAGTACTTGTCTGCAAACTACAGTGGAGCGAACAACAATTCATTGGACGACGTTTGTTAGCGCGAACTCTGTCGTCACTTATGCATTTCGCATATGAACGGCGCTAGTCACTCGCATATGAACGAAGATGTCACAGTTTATAGTGTACGATTCGATCGCTCCCGAAGTGCCCATTATCTTTGAATCGTCGAACCATGAGCCGTACGAGTCCTCAGCTAGTTCCTCTTCAAAGTTTGCAGATGCTTTCAGTCAGCTGATGCCGCTTGAAACAACAACTAGGAGCAATAGAAACGATTATACAAATAGTGTACAGGATCAACGGCATACGCAACAACATCATGTCGCCACCGCGCTAAATATAGAACACCACGGTGAACATGCTGCGTACAGTGCAACTAACGGGTATCGTCCATCACAGCAGCAACGTCATTCTAGTTCTACAGCGCATAACGCTGAGGCTTCTGCAGGCGCCTCTTCTTGTTCTTTTACGTCCGCTGATGTCTACAACGGCTTAAACAGCGAGAGCAGTCATACGAGGGTGCATCGTGGGTGTAGCTCAAGCGAGAATGTACCTTACGGCGGTGATGGGCGGCTTTTGGGTTTTACCAATGACGAGGGAGAGTCGAAGCGTGCGCGCAAATCGAACATCGCCAAGTTCAGGGATTTTGTAGTTCAAAAGGTTGTTCGCAACTCCAGAAAACAGGGTCATGTTGCAACGAACAGTGAGGCCGTCACAAATTGTAATCGATGGCGGTTGCAAGATTGTTCAGAACAAGACAGCTGCTTCGTCAGAGAAAGCCAGAACAATGAGGAACTCGATGAAACCAACAGAATGAGTAATGATGTTGATTATTTTTTGAACGAAAGCCAAGAGCGGGGTACGGCAAATGGGCGTGGCAGCAGAGGTTACTTACGAAGAGGCCACGGAAGTGGCTCTAGACGAGGTCAAGCTGGCAGATTAGGAATAGGCCGTGGCCGGGGATCAGCACGAGACCGATGCTCGGATAGTGCTAGCGGTCAAAGTCAGAATCAAATATTAACTCATGATGAAAGGCGTAGGAGATCATCTGGCCGAGGTCGTGGGAGGGGATATGGCCGCGGACGTGGAAGAGGATTCGGTCGAAGTGATAATCGGGTTCAAGGGTCGACAGGCCACCGGGGAAGAGGTCGTGGTAGAGGCGCGAGCATCGCCCTAAGCCCAGTATTGGCAGTAGTAGGTCGAGGTAAAGCCAAGGGACCAGGACGCCCGAAAGGTCCGGGACGCCCCCGGGAATCTGGTAGAGGTCTAGACCTTAAACACCTTGAAAGCAGAGCCTTTAGCGGTAGTCGGGGCCGGGGCCGAGGCCGAGGTCGAAATAAAAGTGTAATTGCGATCCGTCGTGGCCATAGTCAAAGTGAAGTTTTGGGATTGCGCTGCAGAGCTGAAAGCCGCGGTGTACACGCAAGTCAGCGTGGAAGTAGTGCTATGGCACAAATTCAGAATCGACGCATCACTCTCGGTCGCAATCGGGGGCCAGGTCGTGGTAGAGGCAATTCGCTGCATTTCCTCTTTACTTACGAAGAACAAATCAATGAGAATTTTGATGGCGAATGTCAAGGGAGTGATTACTCGCTGGAGACGTCTTGTATATATGACGATAGCGAAGACTCTTTTGAGGCTGACTCAACTGATATGGATGATGAGAGTGATATCTTGTTGGACGCGGACAGTGGCGACGGTTGTGATAATGAAAGTCGATTGTTGCCCTCAAAAAGAAGCTCCGGAGGTAGAAAACCTGGTAGAAAAAAATCCTTTTTTTTTGGCGGGGAAAACTCCGACAAGCTCGAAAAAATAAAACAAATTCTTGATTTAAGTCGAGTTCAACTTCGCAAAACGACCACTCAAAAAAGAGACGCAACTTCAACAACCGCAGAGGGGGATAGCCTCGCTGAAATTAAACACGTTGTCGAAAAAGTCGAAAAGATTGGAGATACACTAATTCCAAACGGTTCATTAAAGGAGGCACAAGTTGGCACTCTAATGGCTGAAACAAGTGAACGACCTGGTCCAGCGTGCACGAAAAAGCCACGTCCTCTGTACGATGAATTGATGATGCGAATGAAGGCTCAATGTGGGCCTGATCTTCGAGTAACTCTTACGCGGATTGAGGTGCCGGCAACCTATGACAACATTTCTTTCTGTCGTTTGGATCTCCGCAGGAAGGTAAGTACAGAATCATTACCGACTTTAATTGGTTTCTCTTTTTTATACTTCCGAATCGAAAATAAAAACAAACAAAATGCATATCGTCAGAAATTCTGATGAACTTTTTAACAGTACCAGGCTAACGAGAAGATGCTTTGTACTGGTATCCATGTGGTGCAGTGCTTTATTTTTAATTGCAGAGTGTAAAAGTGAAATACTTTAAATACCTGTAAAAATCAAACATCCTCAACGAAAGCACCTATATTTGCTCACAAGTGACCGTTGTCGTGTACAATCGAAAGATGTAACCTCAATGTTAACTTCTTTTCCTACTTTGTTCTTAGGAGCCGCATCTCTCACGAGTGATCATATCGCACAATAACAGCAAACGCACAGTTGTTACCCTACGGGACGTTTTGTATCCATCCGGGGATATGGGGTCATGGCGAGATGTAGCTAAGATCACAAAGCGACCTACTGCAAAAGCTCTAACGACGGGCAACTCAGCTGGCGGAGCAGCAGCAGCAGGGCTTCTTGCTGTTGATCATGTTAAGGATGGAACATCTACAGCTTCAAGTACTACTTCTATCGAAGATCTACAAACGTCCCCAAATGGAACTTTTAGCAGCATTAGCTATAGTAACGATAACGACAATTTTTTGTATCTGGCTCAGCATGAAGAGAAACGACTTTACGAACGATTGCTTCTTGAAGACTGGAGGATAACGAAAGCCATTCAGGCTGACCCGACTCGCTTTAGAAGAACACGTAGTGACATCGAAGGTCATTCCAACAGTGAGACAACGAATAGTGATAAGTGTCCCGAAGCAAAATATCGTAGATTAGATAACATCGGAGTGGGCGAATTGCAGAGTGATAGCAGAACCGAACCGACAGCAGAATCACCAGTGCAGGTGGACGGACGTAATAATAACAAGGTGCGTTTTGCTGATTTATATATGCAAACCGCATACATGATATGTATATATGTGAAATTTCAGATTGCGTCTCTGCAATATAACCTATTGTGTCATTTTAAATGACAATGAAATAATGAAATGACGACTTATAGCTACAAGATATATATATATGGTTTGAAAAACGATTATAAGTAGTTTTTCCCGCTCGTATCATAGCGACCGAACTAAGCTTGTGTATAACATGGAACTATGTAGTCTTTTGCATAAAAGTGCGATACAAAAAACACCGGTGTTTGTATTTTTCTTGATCTGTGCTACGGAGTAGAGGAAAGGATCGACAAATATACACTTATTTGGCAAATATCACATTTTTTCAAGTCGATTTTTCATTCCGCCACAACGAGGTCACTAAACTAATTCACTAACGACTCTGTTGCAGGATGAAGCAGCGTTCATTGAGGTAAACCAACTTAGACAAAGGCTACGCGAATTGGAGGAGGAAAATCTCCGGATGCTCAACACGTAAATAGCATTTAAGCTTACGATTATGACGCTTTTTCTAGGATAATTATGTATATGCGATAAACAGCATTATTTGGGATTGAGCTATGATAACAAATGGTATTTTCAGTCAGTAAACAAAACCTTATACGACAACACTAGAAATTTAACCTTCGGGGATTATTAGTGCATGTGCCAGTGTTAGTAACAAAATCTCCGATCCTTTTATTTTACAGATTGACGCGACAACAACGCCAACAGATGGATAAAAAAAGAAAAAAAGTCTTCACCATAGCCGGTCTCTACCAGCCACAAGTGCTTATGCAAGATTTGAAGCGCTTTTCGGCTTTGAGAGACTCTGTCTCAAGTAGTAAAAGAGCAATCGACAAAAATGAAGACAGCCTCTTGTCTGTACCAACACCACCAATGTTACCCCATATAAGTAAGCTTTCTGGAAAGAATACAACCAGGGCTGTATATCGCCGCGCGTGTACTGTCTCTCAGTCTACGGATATTCGTAGATAGTCAAAGAAGCAGAATTTGGTGTAAAAATAAGTTCCAGTCTTGCAATTGAATTGACAAACGTCAGAGCCGTCAAAGGCATAACTAATAAATAGAAGCGATTTACCGAAAGCCCGCAAAAGGATACAAAGAATAGTTACCGATCAAGGATTTCCTGGTTGGGTTGACAAGAAATGGAGATCTCAAGCGCCAGCTGACCACCTCAATAATATTAACAGCCGGAAGAACCCGTAATATTTATTCTGTACATTTAATGAGATAAATCAAATCTTAAGGGGCTTCTCGCTTAAGGAAATCACCCCTTTGAACTAAAGTCGGAGAAATCAGGAAATGAAGGATTGAAATGTGTAAATATGCGTAGTTCCAGAAAAATTAAGCAAATAGTAAACTGAGTTAAGATGTTGATAATCTATATTTTGGTTCAGTAATCTGAGTTAAGCTTAAAAAGGTGACCGAAACAAAGCTGGTTTTTATTTTGGAAGATAGAACTGATGGTAACTTTCAAATCCAACAGGGGTACGAGGCTGAACTCAGCTGAAAAGCAGTCCCCGCAGTACGTAACTGTGTTTAGGTTTTCTAATTAAATTTTTCCTTTAGATAATTGTTGACCATTCGTTGTGCATGAACTGACAAGAGGGTCTGGTGCGCTTAATGGCAGCCTAGGTGGACAGAATCCAGGTCACTTTATGTTAGGACTAAAAGCAGTGGTATTTGTCTGCCCACTGGCCTTTTAATCGCAACGAACTATTGATGGTGTATCGCTTTTTACAAGAATCGATTCCTCGCCATTGACCCATTTAGGGTAATAGGGAAATATTAGGGTAATTTTGGAATAATTAAAAGGTCCTTTGTCAAAAATAAGACATATGCGTTATGTGTAGGGAGTTAAATAGGCCTACAAAAATCAAAGAGCCATCTTGACAAATAATTATTTTTAAACAACTCCCATAGCGACAAAGTACCATTTAATATTGCTGAAGTATTGTTGAAGATAACAAAAATAATTAGACTGAACAATATGAAGGTGATTTGAGAAACAAATAAGAACATAGGCAGTACTGTAAATTCAAAGAAATTTCATGTTTCTGCTTTTAGTAAATACACCACCTCAAATTTGATGAAAGTTCATCGTCCTTGTTGGAGAAACTATTAGACAACAGATGACTTTTCCTTTTTTTTTTTAAATATAAATCATGATCTTCTGTGGACCTCATATACGAGTGCTTGCCATAGATATTTGAAATCTGCTACAATTTTCACGTAGGCTACGTGGTTCTGAACAGGAAAAAGTAGTCACTTAGACACGAAGTGTATCAACTTGTTATATCTTGGTGATTTTTCATTTGAAAGATCAACTTTAGATTCTGTATACATTAAAAACTCTATAAATGAGGTAGGTCTACGTTATTTTAGCAATCGTTATCTCTGAACTCTGTCTGGCACAGACTACGTATTATAGATTGCTAGTTCAGTTCGTTGGTAAATGACGAAATGTCAACGGCCGTTATAATAATTTTTATATCTAATTTTTTTGTGAAAGCTGAAGTCTTGCGCACAATGGCCAAGGTAAATGCGAACGAAGCGCGGCCTACCACTTGGAAAGGGTCGAATTGGAGAAAAACAAATACTCATGTTTGTCACAATGAACTTCATAGTGAAATGACCTACTGAAGCCTGGCAAAAACGTTATTTTGACAAGCATAGTGCCCTTGGGAACGGGCAATTGCTGGTGCTATAGACCGCCAAGGCTTTCATATGGTAGTTTACTATAGAGTAAAACGGCCTCTATATATACATATATATATAGCTGTCTGCAGATCAAAAGCCTTGTATGTGTGTATATATACAACATTGTTTATTCAAAAATAATAGATTTAATAATAAACCAGCGTGCGCGTGGAGGAACAATATGTAAATATATTTACCTAAATAAACGCGCGTGTGTATTTACTCAAGCATGTCACTGCGCGTACGTCATTCCAATAGAAGTGAATTAACCTTACCATATCGAAATAGAAAGAGTATAACAATATGTAATATACATTTACATGAAATTTTAATCAGTTTATAAGTAGTTAAGGATAAATATATATTTGGCCAAAGGCGATGTCGGCTGTTTGTGGCTCAGAAAAATTACACCGACTCCTTACCATCGAATTTTCCCGGTGAAGTGTAGCTGTCTATGCGATGCTAATGTAGAACGGGTGTCGCGTTGGGCGTAGCGCTTTGTCTAGTATATCTTCGTACAAAAAGGTGACAGATAAAGCGATCCAATAAAATGTTTCGGATAGCAGGTAGAACGACGAGCACAACAATACAATCGCTATCAGATGCAGCAAGTTGAAAAAAATAATTGGAAAAGATATCCGTCACGATCTAGCAATCTGTATAGATGATGTTGTGCTGATGTAGTTAAATTATCAATTGTATACGTAGAGGATGAAATAATGTATCATATTACTTATTATATATCAAAAAAAGCCGATGTGGAAAAGCCGTAATAAAACAAAGAGTAAATCCAAAAATATCTCATTCTTTAGTGGAGGCATACGAAGTAAGAGCGTTTACAGTCTATTATCAAAAAATGATAGGCTCTAGTCGACCACTATCTGTATGCTAAACCAGTCTTTTTAATATTTCTGCTGTGCGCCGCTAAACAAATGTTACCTAACTTAAGAAGTTTGGAAATAGAGGCTATTTCTCATCATAGCTTCTCAAGCACCACATCCGTTGTCTGAGCCACTAATTGTTCTGAATACAACGGAATGCCTGAGTGAACCTGGGAAGTAAGCAGTTTGCGGTAACGTTTGATAATCATTTTAGAATACTACGGGTACTGCTAAAACCATGGTCCACAATGCCTCGCTCTATAGAGAATGTTGTCAAGAGCTTGTGAAGAAGTTACACCCAAAATTTTATACGGAAGACAGTGCTTAAACTTATTAAGTGAATAAGACATAGATCTTATAAAATAAATACATTATGCATTTTCAGTTAGTACATCATATATCGACATTTACATACTTCGAGTATCCTTCTTTCGTTAACGACAAAGCCTTTTTCGCTCGTTTAAGAGTCAAAGGTTCCGTTTTTTTTTTCAATATTTCTAGTTGCAACAATATGCCGGAACTGGTAGCTAAAAGCATGGTGGGATCATTCATTTTGACGTCGTAATGTTAATCGTAACAAAAGAGATACAAAAAAAACTTGCACCATGGGATTCTAACCTTGGGTTCAATAAAAAGGATTGTATAACCTAAAATTTCCTTAACATTCTCGTTTTGATCCGTGCGTGTCTTACTCTTAACAGGCCCAAAACTTTTTTTTGTAAATTATAGCTGCGAGATAATAGCGAGCATTTGTTTACCTGCAGTTAATAGACTTACTGCTAGAACTGTATACATATATATTCATTTCGGTTCTTTTTTAGAGCTCCAGTCAGCAATGGAAGCATTTATTAAACAGGAAACATCGGCGTACTTTAATCGAAAAGCGGAAGGGGTGCTGAAGGATCGGCTAGGAATTGAACCAGCTAGTTATATAGAAAAAGGCAAGGTGAATGCTGATGAAGGGAGGTTTGAACATGAACAGCCGCAGCAACAGATGACTCTCTTGAGTGTGGGAAAGTCACGTGAGAGTGATGAATTCGGCCACACTGATCTACCTTCACTTATTGAAAATATCGTTCGCAGCTATCGAGAAGAGTACAAGGAGTTTGCCAATATCCCCAATGGAATCGATGACGATGAAGGTATTCGAAAATGACGGTTTAGAATCTTTTAAGATTTCATTTTTATATACCATATCTGAAGTCAGGCATTCGGGCCAAGATTTTTTTTATTCATAATCTAATTTTTCAAATGGCCACAGGTTGTTACCGCTTGCATACTATCCTCTAAATATTTGTTTGAAGCGTAAATGATCTCTGGTATGATATTTTTCATGTAGACTGACAATGATCATAATGACATGTTTATTTTACAAATATCTGGACATCCACTGAGTGCTAACATCGAACAAATAATAATAATATTTTCTGAACATTGTGCAATTATGGCTCGCCAGAGTTTTCTCTCCTGTACCACAATCTGATGCATAGTGGCGCCCAGTTAAAGGTTCTCCGCGTCGAGGCTGGTTTTTCGGCTCGTTCTAAGATCGAACGGGCAGAAATGGACGCAGACTTCGCAGCTCTAATTGACAAACAGAATCGGGAACTGGAAACTAGCTGTGACTTCAATGAGCATCTTCTCAACACGTATGCTTAAAACTCTACTCGATGGTTTCTTCTGCGTATTGTATTGAAAAACTAATATCGGCCCACCGTGCGAATATGTTTATATTTTACTACTACTGTCCCTAATTCTAGTCTGTTTAAACGTTATGTTTCGACCATAGCACGAAGCGTACACACATTTCCAAATATCACATCATTATCAAATGATTTAGTATAAATGCTTAAGTAAACAAGTTAAAGAAATCTTGCAGGTTTAGCCAGAAGATAAATTAAAGTGGTTACGATATTAGTAATGGTAAACAATACGTTCTTGTCATGTTCCTCACAAGCTTTAGTCATCTTATAGTTCCACTAGGACATCAGGTATCTGACCGATATTTCTATCCTGTACTTTTATTTGAACTAATTATTTAATAGGCTGGCATCAGTACATGTTGAGGAGAGGCAAGCATTTGAGCGAAACTGGAGGCTGCGCCTTGAAGCTCTGCGCACGCGTCAGCGAGAGGCATTTCTTCGATGGATGATGCACGCAGCAGCCCAAGTTTTGTCAGTATACTGATAATATCGCAAACAAATACGAATGACGCATAAGGGATTTTGTTTAGGACAATCCTGATTCTGTTGACGCCTGACTATTGTGTAAGTTTGGCCAGAACTACAATGTCTAATTGTTTATGGTATTTTTTGCTTTCTTCGTTTTCGTGGTGGTGTACACAGTACGAAACCGGATCCTTCAGTGTGTATGCAAATTGATGATATAGCCTTTGAGGCAGATGAAAACGGATCTACGCGACAACAGCACGGAGGCTCTGGACTCAGCGAAAGTTTTACTATACACCTTGGTAGGCGAGCATTTCTAGCAGTTTCTGTGATTTATTTACATTAATTCTGTCTACTTTTTTCTAGCACAAATGTTGCCTAAGATGCCTGATATAATAATGCGTGCATATATGCTCCGCTGATGTATTTTAAGCCATAGTTTGCATCACTGAGGACAGGCAGTGCTGAGATGGTTTTGGAGGATCCTGTTTATAAAATAAAATTAAAAAAATTCTAGAGTTAATAAATACGTCTTTTGCTAGACACAGATTCTTTACTTTAGCTATCTTAGTAATCGTACTTTGCTTCTACTTACTATTTCTATTCGCTCAAGCTTTCACAGTTCACAGTAATAGTTGTCGACAAAAGAAATATTTTTTGTTGATAGACTCGCAATCCAAAATAAATCGCCCTTCTGTGCAGCAATTACGATGACCGAATCTTTGACAAATAGATTCGAATGTCGCAGGTTTGGTTTGAACTTGGCCACCAAAGCTGACGGGGCTCCCTCAGCAACAATTAACGAAGAGTGAACTATATAGGCATACAAAAAGTAGATACTAACAGCTTACATAAATGTTTATTCCTGTTATTAACCAGTTATTAGGCTTTCATTCAAATAACCTTTAAGTCATCATTAAGAATCTGGCCTATACGCAACAGTTATATTTAAAGGTCTTGGGTTAACAAAAATAGACAGTATACATTATCAGCCAAAGACTGAGTGTGATTGGGCATCTTATCTTGTACTCATCGGTAGTTTGCGGAAAATGAGAATTTTAGTAGTTACAAGGCTACAAAAAGCTCAGAATGGAAAAAAGATTGTTTATTAAAAATTTGCCTTTTTTGTAATTTTAACTAAAGGATCCCAGCTAAAGGTGATGCATAACCTTCGTCTTAGCTGCGTTGATCTGCTCGAAACATTTAGACAACGTTCGCCGGAAGAAGCCCTCCAAACGTCGATGTGTCTCTACTCGGGGCATCTACAGGGAGCCGTAATTCTAGTTGACAACAGAGTCAGCTCATACAAGGGTATTAAACGAGGTTAGCACACTTATCAGCACTATCCCAACGTAATCGAATCCACCTCTGTTACATCAGAGGAGGGAGATTATTAACAAAGATGTACAATATTTTAGCATTTTATATAGTAGCCATAAAATAGTCGCTGTGTATGTGGTTCAGATAACATGATTTGGATTTATGTACGGCAAAAACATTAAATTTACATTAAGAATGAGTGATGTTGATTTAATTATCGAATTGATATGGATATCGGGGTCAAGCTTTGGCGTAATTGTAACTTTTAGATCTTCCACTCTGTATAACACAAGAATGATCATAGAATTTAAAATATCATTATTGGATTCTTTCCAAGAGCACTAAGCCATACGCCTTTGAGCAGCGATCATCATGTCGTTAGGGAGTACACCACCCGAAATAACGAGCGATTGCCATCACTGCAAAAAAACTTTATGGTTCAAAGTCACTAGCACAAAACTAATGTATTATTGAAATATTTACCTGTAGGATATCATTAACGTTAAAGAAGTGACTTTGGAATGGTAAGTATATTCTAATTTAGCTCACGGAGAGCTGACAATTTAAAATTATAATAATAAATAAACGCCCATTAATCGAAAAGTCAGTATTAAACGATTTTCTAGCACGTATATACATTGCTTTCTTATTGGTATTTTTGCCACAGAATTTGCCGAAATCTGCAAGATGCGAGCAGAGCTTCATTTTCCGGACATTGAGACACAACTTTCCGAGGTAATTTGCTTCTACCATGAAAACTTTGTTCTGTACAACTCAGTGGATGGTTGTAATATTTTTCTTTTGTTGTCATGGTTACTTGCGATACGTCGCGCATTTCAGGTTTTGTTTTATAAAAAGTCGACTTTGTATTTTCTTTGTTCTCTGTTAGCAAATCGCACTTCTTTTTATTTATTAATATCCCGTTTTTGCACTTACTGCTGTTTCTGACAAACATGCACAAATTGGTGGAGCCGAATTATATATTTTGTATCATATTCAAATCAAGGCTTATAACTTGTTACTTAGGTAAGAGCTGAGTTTCGCAAAGCAACTTCACGTTCCAGCAACGCAGTTCAGGAAGGCGCTGACAGTCGAACGGATCCACCTGATGGTCATGGTTCAATGCCATCGAAAAAGAGTGGACCTCAGAGTCCGTTCGTTGAGGATGACGCGGACGAAGTCTCGCTTTCGCCGGGTGACGTATACATAACGCGACATTCTAATCTGGGTGGAGCTCACATTGTTTTTCATCTAGTCGCTGGAAGTGACGAGGAGCAACTGAGTCGGAAAGAACTTACATCCAGACATCAGGTAAACATTTGGTATAGACACGATATGACTGGCTGTCTATTTGTTTCATGCTTAATAAAACTTTGAGAAAGTAGCTATGAGCTTTGTGCTAGTATTTCTGAGCTCGCATTTCTAGGCTCACGCGAACAAGGAGTATTTACTGATATAAAGGCTGTTTCTGAAATGTTAGCAGATCTAATTCACTGAGATATCTCTGTTCCTTATACGTGTACGCTCACGAATGAGCGAGGCGCTTTATTCGCCTGATGTTGTATTCTATTTTAATTGAAAGGGGTCATTTATTGTATGACTTTTGCAGGTGATACTTGGATTACGTAACATTCTCCGCATAGCACATGAAAGAGACGTCCGCACCCTGTCAATACCGTTGCTGCTTTGCAATGCGTTCAGCGCTCACACAATGACCCAAGCATGGTGCGTTAAAAGGTAAATGTACTTTGTTTTCCTTTGTCGCAACACCTCCATAATAGAATTATTGAATTACTCAACGAAAAGAAGCAACGAAATTAGAATTTCTCACAATGTTTAGCTCTTCAATTACTTATATGAGCATTTACATGAGAGTTAAAATGCGTCGTACTGTATCTAATCCGTGTCGTGTGAATAATGATTCCATCATGCATGACGATGTAAACATACAATGACACGTAACAAGATGCTGGAAAATTTGATTCAACCCATTTAGTTGACATAGAAATTACCCGCAGGAATTTTAACTCGAAATTTAGAAATGTAAGTGTATTGGAGCCATCTGCAGGAATAATACAGGAAGGGTTGCTTTCTACAGCTAACTATCCCGTTTGAATTCTCTATATTTTCGTTCCATTCACCCGTGTATTGTTGTCAATGTGATTCACATGGGACTCCATTACAGAGCCGAGCTAGTATATAAGTGTGTCAAAGGCTTTATGATCGAGATGGCCTCCCTCGTAGCCGAAGGCGATCGCGACGATCCGCGCACAGTTGAATTCATTGTGCCGCCAGCTCTTGGAGCCAGTGCCTCTTCGCCAGTAGACGAAGGCACAACATTTACTTCGCTTAGTGCTATGCTGCAGGGTATCTTTCGCATGGCGAACCCACTTGTACTCAAGACCAGTGCTGGCAACAATAATACCTCGAACCTATCCAACAGTATGTCCGGCGGTAGCACGACAACAAATAACAACAGTGGAGGGGGCAATGGCGGCACTACAAACAACATCTAATTTCAATGTTCATAGGGGAAAGTGATACCAAGGCAGAAATATATGGGCTAGCGTTCAGTCCATCTATGCTAGATTGCAATAGGCGTTTTACTGACTAGTTCTTAGCTATTTCGTCGTATATGAAACATATCCGGAAGCATGATTTTGCCAAAAAGAAATTATAGCTATTCCATGACAGTATGTCAATACTGGGCACCCGAAATCGACGCGTGAAATGAAAACTTTCGATGTCACTTTCTTTTTTATTTTGCAATTCCGGTCTTTTTAGTAATCTTCTCGAACGTCAACACTGCAGGACCAATTACGGTGTAGGTTGAGGAAGCCCTTTAGAGTCTTTCATTCCTTATAGATAAGGGCTGTCCAGGCTATATAGTGAAAAGTGCTTACTCTTCATCATAGACACTTGATGGGGATTCAGGCAAAATTTTAACTTTTGTCATTAGCAAATATACAAGGGCTACGCATCTTCCGCTCGATAGACCGGTTTGTATTGGTCACTGTCAACTTAGGTATTTTTATTACCTTGCAGAAGCACTTCAGGTGTGCTAATGATGTCGAATAATTGAAATACATTTAGAAAAACAACATGAGTATTAAGAGTCATTGAAGCAGTATTATAGCGAGCTAATGGTTGCCCCAAGAAACCGCTCAATAGGCTGCAACAGGGACAAAGAGTTAAAAGGAAAACATCAACGGAAGTGCATAGTAATTTACACAGAAAGGAACAAATTAGCCAGAGAAAACGTAATACAGTTCGCTCTTATATAGTACGAATTTTTGTACCGAGACTGAGTGATCGTCAGATCGTGCGTTATTCTTATGAAAATACTCCGTATACAAGGCCTACGCCTATAATAAGCGAAATTGCAAATATCATAACAATACATCTGTCATAAGCACCGTTAATAAAATCTATATAATATATTTACACTTCATGTCATAACATGTCATTTCTATATGTCCATGTTTGTGTATGTATTAAAAGTGATAATAAAATATGGCAGACTTCAAATGATTAAAATGGGAGTTCTTTTAAGGGAGTTGTTGCGGTATTGAAAGGTATTTTAGAGATTAATTTTTGGTACACTAAACATATCTTAAATGTAAACTACGTAACTATAACAAATGCACTTGAGTCATGTTATCACTGGAGCGGCTAGCTTACTGTGGTAGTTGTCGTATTACGCTTAACTTACTGTGAGTTTATTGAGACTAACTTATTAACTTATTGTGAGTTGATGAAAAAAAAAGTTAATCCTGACAAGGGTGTCGCATGGTACTGGATTGTCATGCGGCTAATTATTCACGTCACGAGGAACATGCAAGACAGAATGCCACACTGGACTCCGATTGGAAACTGTCCTTAAAGTAGTTTTCTACGTAAGAAAATGCAATAAGAAAATGTAGCAAACTAAAAATTTGTTATGAACTAGCCTCAAGAGTTAAAATATTTTATCATCTATTTAAATATTCGTTGACCTTGTCCTAGCATTTCGGTACAGCTGGCATAATTCATGGAGTTTTTGTCATTACTCTAAAAAACAACTATATTAGTTTAAATATTCCTTGACCTTGTCCTAGCATTCCGGTACAGCTGGCATAATTCATGGAGTTTTTGTCATTACTCCAAAAAACAATTATATTAGATTGTTATTCGCTAGCTTTAAAATGGTTACGTCGCCTTTCAAAATAAACGTCCAACTTCCTACAGTATTATATCGCTATTGGCTTGCTGTTGAAACACGACAATCATTGAAGTCAGGTTGCGTTATTTGGGTATAGAAGTTGCGTCACACGCTCATTCCATGCTTCAACTATTTACATAATAAGGCAACAGAGGTAAGGACTAGCCAACGTTTATTTGAGATACAGTTTTGGTAAGCTTCAAAAGATTCGACTCGACTAAGCTATACTATTGAAAACAAATTACTCTGTCTTGTTTTTATAGAAGAACTAGCTATTTGTAACAGTTAATTTTTATTTCTTACATTCTTTTATCAAAGGATAGGATCTGGCTGAAAGGTACCATAGTTAGCGCAACAATTAATATCGCTTTTATAATGATATATTGTTTCTTACATTTTGTCATATATATGTAAATGCGTATCTTTCGACATTTATAATTAGCTCTGGTAAAAATAAAATACTCGGTTTATACAACTCCTCAGTGGGACGAATATGAAAGGCGTTCTTAGCGTCGCCAGAAGAGAGTGACATCAAAAATGTTTCCTACTATCGTATGCGATTTAATTGGTAATCATTTAGACGCCTAAAATGTTCTACGATGATGTACACAATAGAACCTCAATAATCAAATGGTACTAGATTTTGAATTTCAAGTTTTCTTTCTGAAGCAATATTGTTGCTAATCAACTTGAACTATCTTGAAGAAGGATTGACTGTTTGCTCATACGCTGCTGTCAGTCAGCTCTTAATACACATTACCTAATACATTTGTATTCTATATTGTAAATATCTATACAAAGATAGGCTGAAAATATTTAAGTTCAATTGAGCAGAACTTTTCATAGATGAACATCCCCGACTTTTTGGTAGACTACCTCTACTAAGTGTTCCTTTACTTATTTGCGGTAGATGCTCACTTTGCCCTCAAACAAGCAGTAAAGGAGACGTGATACATTCATATACAAGCTTAGTCAAATGAAGTCCTTGAAACATGAACTGAATCATACGCTTCACGATCAGTTCGCAGATTTTAGTTTGTTTTAACAGTTCTCGAGCATTACAGCGATACCTTGCCCGCCGCCGATACATGCAGAGCCAATTGCAGTCTTTTTATTCCTAGCTTTAAGTTCATAAATAAGGTTTGCTAGAATTCGTGCACCAGATGCACCCACAGGGTGGCCTAAAGCAATGGCTCCCCCATTGACGTTTGTGATGGTAGGATCAAGGCCGAGTTCTTTTTGAACAGCAAGGAACTGCGAGGCAAACGCTTCATTGATATCGAACAAATCAACGTTCTGCTGTTTGATACCAGTCTTCGCTAGAATTGCACGGATGGCGGGTGCCGGTCCGATTCCCATGATGGTGGGGTCGCACCCGACGTACGAGTAACCAACAATGCGCGCCTGAGGCTTCAGGTTATATTGCTTGACAGCTTCTTCGCTAGCTAGTACTAGGGCTCCGGCACCGTCGCAAATACCCTATACAGGACAGTAAAAAGACGTTGGGCATGAAATCGATTGCACCATCATGTAAATTGAGTATATATAAGTCTAAAGCTAGTAAAGTATAAAGCCTAGTGAATGGCTTACTGATGCATTTCCAGCAGTAACTGTTCCTTCCTTTTTGAAAAGCGACGGAAGTTTTTTTAGACCCTCGATAGTTGTTTGAGGTCTGGGGTGTTCGTCAACCTTCATCGATTCCAGTTTGCCCTTGACCTTGATATCCAGGGGAACGATTTCCTCCTGAAAACTACCCCGCTGATGAGCGTCGGCCCATCGTTGCTGTGACTGAAGAGCGAAGTTGTCCACGTCATCCCGAGTAATTTTAAATTTATCGGCAAGGTTTTCGGCCGTTAGAGCCATGGGCAGTTTACAGAGCTGATCTGTCAGGGTTACTAGCAATGAACACTCGAGTGAAGGCTCCACGCCAAAGCGGACACCAAATCGCGTATCACGCAAAATAAATGGCGACATCGACATATTCTCAGAGCCCACAGCCAGGCCGATGGAAGCATTGCCCAGTTGGATTTCCTAAAATAGAGATTCATCAAGCAAACATGTGTTATGCTTCTTTTAAAAGACTCGAATAGTTAATACTACGATAATGTATTCCTAATAGTGAGTCGCAGGTTCGCCAAATTGACTAACAGGGCTGTTAGTTTACCGATTTTCTTCGGCTTCTAATCCCAGCTTACGAGTGGTTAATGTATCTAATTAAATCGCTCAAATGACAGTTCTTTACATTGCGAATGAAAGGAATGCACATACGCCTGTGTGTAATAAAACATTACGTATATAAATGATACATTGTTATTTACAGTACTACTGCGATCCTCACTAGTAGCTGTATTATTGCGATTACAATTATGAATGAGGGTGAACTTTTATGAGTACTATGAGTGAACTTTTATTTAAACTTGCACCTTGTGTCTTATCGTATCGTATTTCTATGTCTAGGACAGAAACGGAGTGGTAATGTAATAAACCTAAATATAACCCTGGAAAGCAAGTCAAATAGATACGTTAATGCTAAAAGTAATATTAACTTAAATGTCCTGCTCATCAAATAGCTCGTTATTCGGTCATATATAAGACAATCACCGTTTAAAAGGTCATCATATATCGATCACAACTACACTACATAATGCTCATTGGTATGTGAGAATATATCTAAATTCTTGTTGGTATTCATTCGAGCTTTGTACGGCGAAGCAAAATGGCAAAATTCATGAGACATTTAACCCTAAACATGAAACTGTCTTTTTTCCCTGAAACAGCGTAAAATACTACTGATAAATATAAATTCATTCCAATTCGTTGTAGTGCGACACTAAAACCAATTACTTCATTGAAACCATATAAACACCAACAATAGCGCCAACACTTAAAAAAAAAGTCGAATTTACAAGAAATTTTCAATCGCGCCACTCAAGTAAAACTAAGAGCATCAACAGCTGTATAATCTCTGCTTCATCCTTGGCCACTTACTGATTGTCAACTTCTTATTCTTAGTGAATTAATCTGATTCTTTTGTCACATAGGCCTTCTTTATAAAGATCCAATGAGAAAACGCCTTTAAAAAGCCTTTACCGTCATTTGACACGGATGATTTTTTAGGAAAAATTTATGAATCTGCGCTAGGGTTTATATACATTAGCATCGTTGAATTAACCTGGCTTGACAACAAGGAGCCTATCTATAGCCCAACATTGTAAAAATGCTATGAGAACATTAAGAACAGATAGATGCTTGATAGAGTTACATGCAAGTGGACAAAAGTATAATCTTTTTTTCTAAGATATCTACGTGAGTACACCTCCTCGTACAGTTACCTGGGCGACGTTAACAGCTGATTGGAACCCGGAACCGCACATGCGGTTAATGTTTAAAGCCGGCGTATGCTGTCCCATTCCAACCTGAAATAGTAATATGTACGAGTGAAATAAAACTAATACCATATTAAATTAATTTATCGTCATCGTATTTTCGTATCAATTGTTAAATCGATTTGAGATTCTAATACATGCTTTTAGAGCTGTATGTCGAGAGCAGTAAGGCGCGTCCTTTGCAGCAAACTGATTGACGATTCCTACAACACACGTGTCAATCTTGGAGGGGTCCACTCCTAAAAGAAATAGCGGTCATTCGTTAAGTCTCAATATAGTACAAAGCCAATGCTTAACAAGATAGTTTATCTTATTAGGCTGCTACAAGTAAATCCGGCTAACTTATGTTAGTTTTTTTGTTACTTTTGAGTTATATGACGCTCGCAGACGAAATTCAGCTAATTCCAATCTTCTACAGACCTGTAAGTTTCAACCGGCTGAGTTTACTCTAGGAGAAATGAGTCTGAGCCCCAAACGATCTACTAATGTCGCTCAATGGTCAAGAGAGGCTGACTATTGGTAATTTCTGTTTTTCGAAGGAAATTCACTGAGGATTGGTGAAGACACTAGATTACATGGTCTTAAACGAAAACACCTTACGTGAGAAATGCAAACGTTTCAAGAATGGAAATTAGAGTGTTGATGACTAACGAGGAGATATTTAGATTTCGGCATTCGAAAGACAAAAACGCGTTGCCGCAATTAAAAAGACCTTCTACGAAAGCAGTGTGAAGTCTAAGGGCTCTGTCGACCAAAACAGGAATTTCACATGAAACACTTTACACAATTATAACTCAAATACTAAAAATGCGGAAACTGAGTAAAATGGATCCCCTACAAATTGACTTCGAGCGAGTTGGGATCCATTGGGTGTATTCCGCATGCAACTTGCATAATTTTAATTAAAAGAAAATTCGTATGGAGCACACGGTCGCCACAGACGAAGCATGGTTCAGTCCCTACCGCCAGTCGGGAAGGGATAAAGCGACAGAATAACTTCGCTCTGGAGAGGAATCGAATTTGGTTGCAGTGTTAAGCAAGTTCGGATTTAAGATGGTGGTAGTACATGCAGTTGACATCGAAAGCATTTGCTACTATGAGGTGTTCGCTAAAGATGAAACGATGAATGCAGCTCGGTGTTTCGAGTGTCCCAAGAAACTTATGAACTATTAATACGGCAACAGGAAGCACATAGTCTGGGCTCATCACCATATCTCAGTTACTTCCTAGATTTAGCAAAGGAATATCCTTTGCTAGAAAAGGAATGCTTATTCTTCCGATCTCAATTTCTGTGATTATGGAGCTTTCCATGCCTACCAAAGGGCAACTGGTAGGCAAGCAAGCATATCACACTACAGATATACTTCGAGAAGCCATGAATAAAGAAACACATGGGATTGTGAATGGTAAGTATTCGGCTGTCCAGTCGCTATTAGAGCCTTGGTAGACGTGTGTAAAAGATGAGAAAGAGTATTTCTAATACATATTAAAAATAATTAATCTAGCCTTAGTAACCCAAGAGCTATTCAATATCGCATTTGTAACAGCTTAACATTTTTTAATGCTTTATGCGTTTAACTGCGATTACTCCCTTATTGCTACTCACCTGCTTGTGTGATGGCTGCTTTAGACGCGGCGACCGAAAGATCTGTGGGGGACCAGTCCTTCAGGCTACCGCCCATGGCGCCAAATGGAGTTCGCTTTGCGCCCACAACATAGACACCTGCAACACGCACCATATTCATTTATCTCGACATTGAAAGCTAGTCAACATTAACGTCACATTGAACCCACTTGTTGCTTTTTACTTCGCGTACAAGTGTCCCAGTAGAGTATCTTACAACTGGTCTATTTGCTATACCAGCGGCATGCCAACCATAAGGAATTTTTGGCGAGATTAGAATTAGAGAACTCGAACTGACAGCGCGCAGACGAATATGTTTCTTTTTGGCATGCCTCATCGAAGCAACACTAATAAATGTTCAAAGCGCAAATTTTTAGACGGTTTCTAGACAACCTACAGGTTTCAGAAAAGGACCAAATTTGGTTTAGTATAAGTTCTCAAGATGGATAAAAAGCAGATATTGCTGATTATAACCCTTTTACATGACATTTTAGTTTGAATTAGAAATATAATTTTATAAGTTTCACCCCAATAAAGTTTATAATCTATACCAGGTAAACTATACTTAGGCTTCGTTGTGCATACACAATGAAGCTTAGAAAAAATTTTTTTTTTAATTACGAATCCAACCAAAGTAAAAATTTAGTACAAACTGTATTTCTCAAAGAACTGACACGTCATCTTCAGTGCTAGCAGTCTGTTATGCTTAGCTTTAGAAGTAAATGAAGTCAGTCCCTTAATGTTGTTTTCGACTTTAGATTGACTCTCTTTAATAAAAACGCCGATTTTTGTTCGGAAAAACAACATTTGTTGGCAAAATAAGACATTTCCTATTATTACGTGTTGCTTCCCGCGCACCCTTACACTATTATTGAAAACTGCGGTGCGATAACAATATTACAAATTATTCTTAACCTGAGAAGATGATCTTTATTGCTCGACTGTCCGACAAATTTTCTTTCAAATCTGCCATTATGTTATGAACAACACGCCATTAGATCAGTAATTTGCACAACTGTATGAGTAGACACTTCTCTGCAAATCACTTTACATCATTTCAATTCAAAACTTAGTCTGGCGCTAAAAGAAAATCGTTCTTACCGCGTACGAGAGCCATGGCCAAAATTACTGAGTGATAGGTGCAGTTCCTCGTTTAGGTATTGTTATCTGTAAACAGAATAAATGAATTCTGTTTGCACTTACGCACGCAGACAAGTCTGTGACTTTGGTAGAAAGAAGTCAAGGAAAAAAAGGCCTCCAAGTGGTCAGGTGACCAATAGCAACCCTCTAGTCATGCTTTCTTCCACTTTTTTTCCTACGGAAAGTGCAAGCGTGTGCCCGCCAAGATGTCGAACACGAAGAAACATATTGTGGTAGAAAAAGTTGACGTATTTTATTGGCCTAACAAATTTAACAACTGAATAATTCACTTGCTGTGTGCAATATACTTGCTAATAAGTATTATAATGCTTTCGAATTTAGAGTCCTGTTTAGGCAACGAAAGGGAAAGAACAATGTGTCTCAGTGTATATTCATTTGTCTCCTAACATTGCGATAGCGTCATTGCGATATATGTATACATATATATGGTGCAAGCTGTTTCTTTGCGTTCTCAAGAAACTGTAACTTTAAGTAAGTAAAGTAGTTAAACAGCGGTTGAAGTGCCATGGCATTTAAGGAACACAAAAACAAATATGTTGTAAACACAAGGCTCCTAAAGAGAAAACGGCTCAATGCAATGGCTCCAAGTTTGTTAAAAGGCGGCCCCTCTAACCTTCTACGATATTCGTGTGTCCGCCAAGTGACAGCACAGTAGTCCGCCAAAACATTTTGCTCGCGGTGCGCGAGACGCTGAAGTTTGTCTAAGGTGCCGGTGGAATCGTTCGAAGTTGCGAACTACACTTATTGGTGTTCTCCTGAGATTTGTGATGGACTCTGAGCTAGATTACTATGGAAACCTCGAGGAGGAGGACCGTGAAACTATCGAAAATGACATGGCCTATCAGGTGAGTTATAAGTAAAATAGTGAAGTATTGAAGGACGTGTATTTGGAACAGTTTACTTTGAAGAAAAAATGCCGCGAAATTTATGATGCGTTAAGTGTTAAAATCTTCGTGGTGTCGTAATTTTTAACTGTTGCTTTGCAATCATAGTAGACTTTCGCTGCTTGAAGTTGCCTCAGTTTCGATGATCTCCGATCGATACAGTTGATCTTCTTGTCATTTCTCCTGCTAAGTAAGTGAAAGCGAGTAGTCAGAACAGCGCTAACATAGCTCTGGGTGCTAAGTTTTAAACTTCAAATACGTTTAAAAAGTCTGTAAAAATAGCACTTAGTAATTATACAGTTCAAATTTCTTGTGTCAACTATGAGTAGAAATGCGAACATCTACACGGACATCGTAATCGATTTTGAGGAGTTTTGATTGTAATTGGTGAAAGAAGTAGTAAATGATTAAAAAGCAATTTTGACCTGTGCAAAATATCGAAATTTAGGAACGACACAATATACCTCCCTATTGCGAAATTAGTTTCCGTATTATAGCGTATTAGCTCCAGCATATGCAATTTTTTAAGTGGGGGTTAGGTAAGGACACCTTTTTCTTCTAGTCTCTAATTGAGACGTCTTTTCTGTCTTCAGATGATTTTATTTTTTATCGTTCGCTCGAATAGAACATAGGGCGTTTATTTAAGGGGTTACGGTTCAGGCAGGATAAGCGTAAAGCTCTTTTGTTACAAAAAGTTTTTCATTTTAGGTAGCATAGTGATTCCGTTACTTTCACGTAATTTTTGGGCTACATTCATCAACATAATATTTCTTTATGTAATATTTCAAGCTTAGATACAGCCGTTTTTATTGTGCATTTTTATATTACCAATTTAGAAAATTCTCCTATTTTCAGCAGGATAATATGTTTTTTTTTGTTTGACTAAAGTGGACGAGATTACTGCAGTAAAATAGTTTGAATTTCTAGGAACTATTTTTTAAAAATATATTTTTACTTTATACATTAATACAATAAGTTAGGATGGCAAAAATGAATGCGAACCTATTTCAAACAAATAGCGTCAGCTAATGTCTAAGCATTTGGGCTAAAATGACTAACTGAAGCATATTTAGGACGTTGTCGACTGCGTTGCGCTGACTTAATAAAAATGTGCTTTCTTCTATCCTTAGTGGCCATAAAGCCTTATTTTATCTACTACTATGAATGGCAAGTTGCTTTTTATTTATATACAAATTTTTCTATTTTTCCCTTTGCTTAATTTATTCAATTTTTATTGTTAAACTATTGTGTTTCAGCTATACGGCGAGCCGGACGAGATGTATATGTCACTTGCTGACTTATGGAAGTATTGCATGAAGGGCACTCTTCGGGACTGGTTCGATATCACAGCCTATGTTGTTTTGTCTTCGTGTTTCCTTCGGTGGATCGCCAGCTACCGTAAGAACACATTTATACCTTTATACTCGAAGGAATCACAAATACATAGCACTCTAATGTGCATCACTCGAGGCCTACGAGGCAGTTGCTATCTTTATCATCATGCCACTAACCATTATGTATAATCGTCTATATTTTCATAATAAGAATACTTGTAAAGAGTGTATGCAACATCAAAACATGTCTCGGACCCGCATAAACGATTTGTGCTGTACCGTTTAAAATTGCTCTTGTGCGGGGTAGTCGAAATCCGAAGCAGTTGTCAAAGTTTCGCTTTTTGATTGTATAACGTCATGGTTAGTTTGCCCAGATTGTAAATGTTCACTCCGGAATCAGGGAGACTCATTGTTAATGTACTTTAAAGTTACTTATTTTATCGGTGGACTTGGATCCAGCTGTTTTTCACGATATGTATGTTGTACACAAATCTGATTGAAAGCACGGGTAAAGCGGTTACTTTACTGGTGATCGTAGCGTTACGCTGTTTTTTTTCAATTATTTTTAAGCCTGTGAGTTTCTACAAAATAATTGTACCGGTTTCTCTCGACATAGAGATCGTTTGTAGGATATATTACTATATTTATTTACTGGCTTATTAGCTCTCGCTAACCGTTAGGATACTTTTGTAGGATAAAATTGGTACCCAACATTTTAGATTTGATTTTTGCTGTTAAGCGCTCGCGTTCAGCTTCTCTGCAAGATGCGCAGAAGTGTGCTGCTTTTGAATTCTGTCTTATCGGCGGGAGTATTGTCGTAGAAACTTTGTGTACCTTCTGCAAAAACCTTTTATTTATTATGTTGTTTTAAACTTTCAGAGTTCCGGCTCCACTTTATAGTCAATATTTTTTTTGTCTGTTTACTTGCTTTCTACGTGGATAACGGGCGGTACCTGCCATGACGCATTATTCCAATGTAGCTAATTTTTTCCTTTCTCGCTATAACAACAATCTTCGTCTGTAAAGCCCTAGTCATTAAAAAAAAACGTGAAATGTAATGTTCTCTTTGAGTCCTTATTCGGATATTCAACAAAGACTCCACACAGGTGTAGAGTACGGTAGAATCACTCTCATTCAGGCAAAATAAAAACCAGATTCTTTTTAGATTTTCCGTACCAGAGAATTTTTTTCCGGTTTTTTATTTAGTCCTATTTCGGTGGGTGCTTGGAGTTTAGCTAGTCGCCCAACAGTGACTCATCTGCTCGAGGTGCTCGCTATACTAACTTAGTTGTCGATTTAAGGAAAACTGATTTATCTAGAAATGTATTTATTCTTCGAACGTTATAATATGTCTCCTTTAGCGACTTTTCTAATAATTAAGATTTGCCGTCGACGTAATTATCTGCGGTAGATCGGTAGTCCTTGCAAATATATGAAATGCTTCCGAGAGCTGAAACGTGAGGAAAGCACATGTTATTTGTGCGCAATTTGGCCTAGCGTTTTTAAATTATCTCCCACAATCAGGTTACGTCTATTTATCCGAGTCATATATTATCCTTAAAGGATTCATTGTGATGCAAATTACGACCACAAAAATTCATTGCAAAATTTTCTTTGATTACCAACTCAGGCCTAATGTAACCGTGGGTAAATTCGATACGCTCTTTTCAATTCAAAGCCAGGAAACTTTCTTTAGAGCGTACCTGACTAGACAGCCTTCTACGGTCAAAGCCTCTGGCGGTTTTTCCGTTGTCGTCATCGTAGCCAATACCATTCGAATATATCTCAATGCGGTTGTCGTCTCTTCTATTACTTTTCTCGGAAATGGAAGCTGGATCGAAGAATTGACTACTGTTTTCTGGGGTCATCCACTCCTCAATGCGCATCGATTCGGCAAGTTTATCTATCACATACTGTCGAAGAGCTTCGTCGTCGGCGCTCCAGCGTTTAATTCGAGGCGGATCGAACTCCAAAGGGATTTGGGCAACTCGAAGCGGCTGATCGGTAGCTGATACGGGGGTTTTGCCTTCGAAAACGAAATTATATTTTTAATATATAATTTTCGTAATCGAATATAATTTCGTTTTCGAAGGCAATTACTGCTATCATCAAGAGTTTTTCATCTCAAAATCAGTATGGGTACAGCAACGCTTGGCAAGTCCGCTTCATTAAACATGCTTTGTTAACTATGTGCTATTTTGGGAGGTTTTTAAATCTCAAATCCACGCATTGTAAATATTTTGTAGGTAGAGCGCTAATACGTCGAGATTATTCCGAATTTGATTTGATAACCCAATTTCTACAATTAGGGACTATTTATATCGTGTGAGCTCTGCAACAACAATTCGTGCTTTGTTTCGCGTCTTTACTTAATAATATTTTAGGTCATCAAAGAAGTATTTGTTTTGTTGTGCTTTTTATAATCAAAATGCGTTATCGAAAGAAACTGGCCAAAAATGATTTCATCGCTTTGGTTTGGGAAATTTTGATGTGAAAGATACGCCTTTCAGTAATCGACCAGTTATGAAAAAGGTTAATGAAATCACTGCGAAAGTTGAATAAGAAGATTAATACATGAGTAAGCATGGCATCCTGAAAGAATTAAACATGCACCAGCAAACAGTTTGAAATTATTTGAACAAAGCTGGCCCTAAAAAGGAGCTCGATGTTTAGATATCACACGAATTGACGCAAAAGAACTGAGTAGATCGTTTTTCTATCAGCGATGCTTTACAGAAACGCAACGAAATCGAGCCATTTCGATAGCAGTTTATCACAGGTGATCATAAGGGAATATGCAAATAAAAAAATACGCTCCATGTAATAAAGTCTATACTGATGGCAAAGAAGGCGATGCTACGTGTTTGTTGGAACTGGAAATGAATCATGCATTTCGAGTTGCTACCACCAGGCAGACCGATTGATCCGGACTTCTACTGTCAACATCCAACAAAATCACAACAAACTACTGAAAAAAATTGATTAGAACTAATTAATAGAAAAGGCATTTTTTTCCGCCATGGCAATGCCAGACCATATACACCTCGAGATACCTGGCAAATGTTGAGAGAATCTGCGTGAGAAATTTTAATGGATTTGCCGCATAACCATGATCTTGCATTATCAGACCATCGTCTGTTTAGGTCTCTGCAGGACTCCCTTAATAATGTTCATTTAGTTACAATAGGAGAATACAAAAACTACTTGTAGCAATTTTTCGCCTACAAACCTTAGAAGTTCTACGGTGATGGGGTTATGGCGTCACCAGCAACATGGCAGACTGTTGTTACTCAAAATGGCGCGTATTTAACTCAGTAATATTGTTTTAAAGCAGAAAAATACTTGCCTTGATTTGGCTTAAAAGCAGTCAATATTTTTTTCGACAATACAATTTATAGAATGGCACCAAGCACTAGTGCTCTCAAATTCGAGCTTTCCTATAATGCATAAAAAATGTCCTGTTGCTGTTGTTCTTGTTTAAAATAAGCGGATTAATAAGTTTTGGATGAGAACTTATTGTATGTTAGTGGTACAGATGCCTTAATTTTCAATTATTTTTAGGATTTCAACGACTGATCATCTTGGAATACCTCAGCTTGCCACGAGAGTTTACATCAACCCACTTCCACTAGAGCTACTGACCCTTCTGAATGTTCTTCCCGACGACTTGTAGTGAAACGAACCTCTGTAGCCAAAGTTGGACCTCTTCGCGCAGATTCTCATCTTTAATATCTTCTACCGATGAACAGTTGACCGCTTCCATGAATGCGGCACACTGCATAAAGGATGTTACATAATTACACCGGTGCGTTAAAACAATAGTATTGAGGCAGAAGTAGCTGTCACCATTTGACCTCTGTAAAACCATCCTAACCCCTTGCTCTTCTCATTTCGACCTGCCATACGATCAATATGTAAGACTCGTCAACTTTTGGTAGAAATGATTTTCGTTAGCTTTAGGATTACTGAAGTCGTCGGCATCCTACCGGTGATCGTAATGAAATCTAGAGACGTTAGCGCCGATAGATATTTTTTTATGCGTTTTCCAAGGCATGTAACTTGAATTACAAATGCTTCCCTTCCGGGCCCACATAAAAGTAATCAAAATAGTTAAAGTGGCAATTCTTAACATCGTCTTTCAGATCCAAACAGGCTTAACGTTTATATACAAATTTGGCTTGCTTTATAGCACGAAATAGATTAGCACTCATCCCATAAAAAAGAAATACTGGAAGCAATGTTTCTAGAAGGTTTCAACTCTATAGAAACAAAATGATTCAATATTTTCGAAAGTTTATGGCGAACCAACCTGTTCTGAAGTGTCTCCGCTGGAGTAGGTCCATGTTCTGCCCGAGCCAGGCGACCAGTTCGAATGATCGTAATGTCTGGCTCGCCCCTCCATTATATATTAGCAGCGTTGTTGAAAGGTTTTTCCGGAACCGCCTGCGGATCGTTTCCTCACATATTATCCAGATTCTTATGCAGGACAGTTGACGTCGTCAAAAATTTTATGCTATCACATATTCACGAAGGTTGCATATTGACAGGGGTATTTATATATGGCCATACGTGCACACACAAGTAATAAAACGATTAATATTTTAGAAAGGAAATGGTCCCTGTTGTAACTGTGCTGATTTGTCTTCTCTAGTCTCTAAAAGACGAAAAACTGAAGTTTTGCAATGCTTGCTCGGGTCGGGTGGAAGTTATAAGGAAGATGTTACAAAAGTTGTCAACGACATGATGATACTGCACGATATTGACTCATTAGTAACAGGCCAGTGTAAGAAAGTGCGTCATACGATAATTTAAAGTAATCTTTCCAGAACAGTGTGGACAATGGCAATCCGATTATCAAAGATATTGTAATAATACCCGTCTGGTAACTCGTTTCGCATCACTCTTGTTACGTGCGCAATGAACGAATCGATCTTGTTGGTTCTGAGATTTTCCTAATTAAAGAAACGCTAATCAAAAGAACATGTATATTGCACGCACCACTTTCGCCCTAGCTGTCTTTTTATAAATCGATCATCTAAGCTAAACTGCTAAAGAAACTACAATAGTTTATTACTATGAAATGATACCCAATAAAGTTATAACAACGATGGATAACATAATGTCTCACGCGTAAATGTAAATTTGAATTCGGCGTGGAACTTATTTGAGAATATTAGTTTTGAACTATAGTTTAGCAAATCTGGGAACCTGCTATGCTTTTTAGACTAACTTCCTGCAGTTTAAAAACAGACGCAAATTTCTTCAATACTCTCATGCACGGAAAGAAAAATGACCTATGAAATGACAAAACATGAGGCAATTCAATAATGTATATAAAAATTTATGTGTGCGTTAAAGCTCACGTTTCGAGTAGGAGGTCGTGTTAAAACGCGTCCAATTGAGGTGTTATTGTCAATGTTATGTAAAGCCGTTGCCAAGCGACAACTTCCCCAGAGTGTTCGCCATACTTCAACCTGTCGGTCAGCGCTTCGCGCGCTCAATCTGCTCTGCACTTAATGGGCCCTGCGGGTTATTTATGCAACTCTACTTGTAGCTATCAAATACCGACAATGAGAATGCGCTCCATTACTACGTGTATTAACTGATCTAATATATTCGCTCATAAAATGCAGAGGCAAAAAAAACATGTCGCTGAAGCAAACCTGAGAATCCTTTCGTTAGAAAAATAGGTATAATACCTATAACATTATTATCGCCTTCCTTCTAGTGATCTAAATGGGCTCATTGTTTACGAAGATGATGGGTTACCCTTTAAGCATATTCATTTTCCACTGTCGCTGTTGTAGTACAAGTTATTATGTTACTTATGTCAATCAGAAAGCATTAATGGCAGCATCATGGGAGCTAAAGATCTTGCTGTTTCAAGAAATTGGTTACCAAGACTGTTTATGTATACCGAAATGTATATTAAGAAAATGTATTGTATAGCTCATTTTGAGAGTAGGGCTGCATTGTTCGCATTTTTTCTAACTGGAACCCTATTCAGTTCTCTTCCCGAGAAGGTTTTGACGAAGCATTGGAAAATTTCTCTCACTCTATTTTCCAGTTGGATTTACACCATCAGTCGTTACATAATAGCGTTACAGCTCAAGCTATGCACGCGTCAGATGAGTTATGCAATGGGTAAAATGCTTGGCTACTAAACTTACGTACACGTCATGGTCTGGGCGCGAGTTCGGGTGTGGATACATTTTGCTTTGTGATGGGAGGGACCAGTTGTCTGAAGTAAGGCCAATGATTCCAGTACTCGACGTAAAACAGGGAATATTTTTGTTGAGTTATCGTCCACCATATGCCGTCTTTTTCTAAGACAAATTAGTTTTACGTTTCGGCGGGAAGTCAAGATAACAGAGATCAGCTTTTTCACTCTTAGGTATGCTATAATCGTTAATTAACCTATGCATTAGTAAACCAACCTACACAAATTTCAACTGAAGCCACTTTTTTTACATCATTATTCTATTTACTTGTCATTGTAAAATTGCAGCACGCGTACCTCGATGGCTGATCCATACCGTATCGTTTCTGTTAGGTCTCTATTGTATGGTTGCTGTAATGGATTGGCATAGCTTTTATGCGTTCACCTTCGGCGTAATATCTATCACAACTCTCTACGTTGCGCATTGGCTTTTCGGAAAATGGTTCGTCACACAGTATCAACTTCTATCGCAATTCGAACACGTTAGTTATACTATAATTATTATACTCGATCCAGTGCATGAGCGCTACTTAGATTTTGTGTTGTTAGCTTCAAGCAAAACAATATCATTTTTTCGAAACTATTTCAGGCGCACAACGATTGTAACGCTCGCATGCTTAGCCATGATCATCATCGTTGGAGAATATAAACTTGCTCCACCGCAATGGAACCGAATTCGAGGTCCGTACATGACTACGTTCATTGGAAGACAAGAGTTACACAAAACCCATATGTCCGGGCGTTGTTTACGCGTCTTCTGAGGGTGACTGATAAGAATTCTCGTTGACAAGAATCACATAAGTCAACTAGACATTATAAGAAATTAGTATTACACTGATTGCTCGGCTGCGTAAGCGTCTGCAGCTAATCCGATGAGCAAGACGATTCTAGCCGCCACATCATAAGTAGCTCTTTATAATTTATACACTATTTATTTTAACAGGTACGGTAATGGTGATGACAATGAAAATAATTTCGCTTGCACTTGATCTGGACTCTGGCCTCGTCACACGGCTGCCATCGCTGCCGCAGCTCTTCGGGTTCGTATTTCATTGCGCGACAATCATCTTCGGCCCATGGATATCGTTCTACGACTATCACCGGTAGGTGGGAGTTTCCTAATTTGAAATTATTCCAAATTCACCTAGAAATTTTTTGAAATAGTTGAAATAGAAAACTTTAAAGTTGTTTTTTTTTAACATTTGTATAAATATGCATACGTAATATAACCGAATTAAAACAATAAGTGGCCACAACCAACTGTTGGAGATCATCGAAGAAGACGGCAACACTTCTTAGTTTAATCCTTCGAATTTGCATTGTGCCTTTTATTGAATTACTATCTTTTGCAGGTCACTTGAAGGTTGCGAGAGTCTTGAACAAGGCGGTTTTGATCTGCTTGATCCATTGTGGTTTTTGTCGGTTATTCGGGCGTTACTTCTTTCGACGATGTGTTTGGTTGTATCGGCCTGTGGAATTCATTGGCATGTAATCACACTATAAATAACAGTTACGAAAATTATGAAAGATACGAAAACATATTGATCTCTATCATATTTATAGACGTATGAATTCTTTAGGACAGCCCCCAAGTTGCACATACAATGGCGCCTTCACATATTTTACCGGGCCCTTATTTTGAAATGACTACATTTGCTTACGTGATATAGCAGAAAAGAACAGATTTTAAAAAAATTCTGCGGCAAGCAGTAATTACGCATAAGGGTTCTGAATAAAAACGCTGAGATGACAGTAATATTTGTGCATGATCATGTGATGCAAGTATAAAGTATTGCCTTAATAGCAAATCTAAAGGTTCTTGTTTATCTATCGAGGTGACATTTACTTAGCATGACACAATGACTCCACTCACTATGACAGATACGTAGAGAGATTACACAAGCATTTTGGGTACCTATCTCTTTGCTCAAGCTAAATTTTCTCTCAACTGTAATGTACAGCCTAAGCTTAGTCAAAAAGGCAGGGAACAATTGCGTGGCGAACATAGATAACTACACCAAATGTAGAAAGAGTGTTTAGCGATAGGCAACGATAGCCTGGACAAACTCGCAAAGAAAATAGACCCTATAATTATCAACAGTGCAGGACGAAACATTTGTCATCATCCAGAGTACTGGGAATCGAAATATAAGTGCTCAACGAGCTCCTGAATTTTAACGAGTAACAACACACAGGTCCATAAGCGCAGCGCAACATGTTCCCCTGAATGCGGGCTCCCACGACCATTTGGCCAGTTATATTAGGTTTCGGGTGAGAATAGAAACCTAAAGCAGAAGGAAATCAGTTGAAAATCCTATATAAAAATTAATTTTGAAGCTTTCGTCCAGAGCCTTATACTCATGGAGGAAATTAACCAGGGCTCTACATGTTTGCATAATGTTTCTACGTTTGTATATTGTAGTAAGTGGGATCACTGTATTATGCGAAAATGACTGTTAGGACCGATATATGGGTAAATCGACGAACGCTTTCAATCACGCGTTTAAAAACCATATCTTATAATAGGGTCGTTTTTATCAAATAAATTATTTTGTCCGTGTATTTTGCACAAAATCACAGCATACAATAATTGCTTATTCGTAAAATATTTTTTTAATCAATTAACCTTTACCTTGTTACTCAAGTAAACAAGAGGGTGCTTTTGGTACCCTTGTGCATTTTATGCTCTTTATCCGACATTTGCCATTCAAAGCTCGCGTAGGTCACTAGGTAGGGCAGGCTCGTAACACTGGCTGACTATAAGTCAGCCAGTGTTAAAACAGCTCTTTGATATTTATTGGCTAAAATTGTATTTACCTTTGCATAATATCACAGGTTTTTTGGTCGAGCAGAGGAGTACGGCGCCTGGTCTTTGGCGTTTCGCGACGCCTTGGGGTTTCGGATGTCCCATTACTTTGTCTGCTTCCACGGAGAAAGCACCGCTGTTGCGGCAGGCATACGAAGACAGGGGAGGCACCAACAAGACGAACTGGACCAATGGTCCGTAGCTCCTTTGATGTCCGTAGCTCGTTTGATAACGCGTCGTTTAATCGACCGCAACTGTTTCAATCGTCTTTCACTTAGAACTTACAGAAAACGTTGTAGCTCTATTCTGACACGTATCAGTATATGTGTTAAGCCTGCACCAGTTAATGTAGTTGACTTCAGTGTTAATAACAAAGATTTGATCTGTTCTTTTTGCTACTTTTCTTTCTTTCTTTTTTGTTCAATCAGGAATTTGGAAGTTGTGCGGCCTGCTTGTATCGAGTTGCCTCGTTCCCTTGTCGAGGTGGTTGTTCGGTGGAATCAGCCCATGCACATTTGGCTCAAAAACTACGTGTTTAGAAGAATTTTACCCTCAGGCGGGCGTTTTCTCGCTACCCTAGGAACTTTTGCTGCATCCGCACTTTTGCATGGTCTTAGCTTCCGTCTATCTGCTGTCCTTTTCTCACTCGGTTTTTACACTTATGCGGAGCATACTCTTCGGCTTAAGCTAGCGACAATCTTCAATGCGTGCATTGGTGCTCGTCCGTGCCACATATTATGTGATCATAGAAATACACCACAAACATGTTGGTGGGTGAATCTCATCAATGGCCTGTGGACACTATTGGCTCTTCTAAACCTAGCCTATCTCGGCATGATGTTTGACGAGGACCAGCCTATTGATATGGCGGAGGAATTCAACCATATGTCGACCGGAAATACAATGGAATCCACGTTGAAAAAGTGGTCGCAGCTCAAGTACTCTTGCCACTGGATCTCTCTGGTAATGTTTGCTTTTAATTGTCTGCTTTAAATGATATAGTCTTTGGTTTTTTTCTTTGTGTATAGGCGCATATCTCGCTTGGAAAAATACAGCCACGAATATTTACACACTAATCTCATATATACACG